AACTATTATAGGATAATTTTTTCACAGCAACTAAGCCATAAATAATGGAAATGTTTTTGGTTTGTTTGCTAACATGAACGCCAACATTTTGTCTTAGAAACTTGGTTATCCCCTTATGATTTTGAGAATAAAATGAAACTTATCATTCAAACTGGTCTTTATAATGTTCATATAAATATATATTTTGTAATATTTAGATAATTTTAAAAATATGCTTATTAATAAAGCTTACTAGATGTAACAGAGTCAGCGCTCAGCAATGCTTTGTACTATAGCTCCTAAGATTAGCTAATTTTATTTTACATTAGCATGGAAGACTTAATCGCGTCACAACACAAGTCCCATCGTTTTGGGGTTTTTTTTGGACAGTTTTTGTTGGCATTAAATCTATTGAAGTAAAGCATTAACAGTTAGCCATTCCCCCAAAAATTGTATTTCTCAGCATTCAAACTCAGTAGGCATTGAACACAGAAACAGCTTTTTGTTAAAACAAGAAAATGTTTTTCTTCTGTTCCTTTGCAAACTAATAATATTAAATATTATGCTAAAATGAATGCATACAGCATTACAGATGATTGCCATTTCAATAGCTATAGATGTGGCTTTTAAATTAAAAATCAATTCAGTCAACAGTAGCACCTAGGGGCGTAGGATGGAAATTACGATAGTTTTAGTATTTCTTTAAGCGCAGTAGATGACAGTAAAAACATTTTAAAGGAGACAAGTTATCGGAAGCCTGAAAACCATCCAAATTTCAATGGATTTTTGAGGTGTGCCCAGATATTCTGCAACGTATTGTTAGAAATATTTCTGTCAGGAGGGAAAAATAAACAATTTTCAATGGAAATATGTCATCCATTAAGGCCATGTTGGGTTTTAAGCTTGAATAAATAAAAGACTGGATTCATAAAATCTGATTTAAGAAAGCATTTCTGTTTTCAAACCTTTAATGTAAGCATAATGTTAAGAAACACATAACTAAGTAAATTTTAGCTTAATATGTAACTGCTAATTTACATATTTACATTTGATGGGGAAAAAAGGGGGGAAAAAAGCAATCAAAGGCAAATACTGTCCCTATAACCTGACTTTTAGATACCATATATTTTAAACTTGTTTTAAAAAACCATTAACACAGTTGGTTAGTGTAATTCCCTGCCATATGAATGTTTTTAAATCATGAACTGCTTAGATGCATCAGCAAGACGATTGTTGACAAAAATTTTGGCCTTAACCATCCCCACTTTTAACTTGTCACTTAAAAAAAAAAAGCATTAGAACAAAAATCTCCATGGAAAAGTTAACTTTAAAAAGTAAAACTGCCTAAAGCTAGGCTGTAAAAAACAGAATCATGTCCTCCTTGCAGCCACGAGACATCAAATTTCTCTGGCTAGTGAAGAGTAGCTTAAGCGTCAGCCACTATAGCACCAGGGTTTCAATTAAAACTTTGGTAAAAGGAAGGATTCTTTCATTTAAACAAGAGTATAATTGTGTTTGTATTAGCTGGTATCATATTTTTGTTTTAAACAAGTACTAAATTTGTATTTGTAAAAGATTTAGCTAACGTCTGAAGATAACTAGCTTAGCATAGCTAACTAGCTAAGCACTTGAGGATTTGTCAATAATTTTCCCACTGATCAAAGCAGGAATTGTTTGTTTTCTGTGCATCCTTTGAACGTTTTAATTGTTTTTGGATAGCCAAACAGCCGTCAGTGAAGTGCATTCAAAGCAGCTAGCTTCAGGTGACGAAAAAACCTTTCAATCAATAACAACATAAAAATAGACTATTTTCTTTTTGTCTTTCTCCAATGGGACACAGGCAATTATTGGTCTGAAGGTATCATTTATTGCATGCAATAATTTTTAAAGTTTCAAGCAATTCAGACAAAACAAACAAACAAAAAAAAAGTCAAATCATTAAGGAAACAAAATACAGCAATGGATGCTAATCAACACGCTTTTTTTTCTTCCCATCTTAAAGCCGAACCCTGGTGTCATCATAACGCCAGTAAAAAAGCTTATGGAGACATTTGATTTTATGAAAAAAAAAGTCATATTTATACCAATATGGTATGGAAAATTATTTAGATTCATTCTTTGTTTTTGTTTTTTAAATAAATAGAGCAATTCCAACTGGACACAAATAGAGGCACTTGAGTTTCTTTCTTTCTTTTTTCATGTTAACCTATAAATTACTTCCGACATCCAAATTGTCCTTTCACGCACATTCAAGCATGATAGATGATCCCAAACTTATGAAACTCATGCTGGATGTGCTGGATTTACAGAAAGCCTTACAAGAAGATTCTAAGCTTTTGTAGCACAATAAGCAACGGAGGAGAAATCACATAGAAACGGTGGGGATTCTTCTTTTAAATGTACCACAAAGAGTTAAAAATCCCTTAAGTTTTTGGGCTGTGTAAATGCAGCAATAACCTGTGCATGGACCCACATATGTGACACTCACTCATTTTCGTTCTTTCACATTGACCCATTCACAAGACAACAAAACAAAAAAAAAACCCAAAATACGCACTGCTTCCAGGTGTCACAATCTGTACAGTATATTACACAAACATTATTATTGGTCAGCAACAATTTCGATAGACTTGACAATCAGCTGTACACGTATACACACCAACAACACAACACAACAAATGCTGGGAAACGACTAGAAGATGATCCAGCAGATGATCTGATCTCATTAGGTGCTGTACAAAGTCGCATATTCGTCTTGACATCGGGGAGCAGAGATGAGATCTTCCTCGTTTACTCGCTCTGCACATGGGGGTGCTTAATTGGAGCCAAATCATACTGAGTCTAGTAGTCCCCCCCCCCCCATCACCACCAACACCGTCACGGTTGGGTTACTATGGGAACTAGAACTGAGCTGGAAATTCACAAAAAGCCCATAACCAGCAAGAGATACTGCTTTTGATTGAAGCCGGCTCTCATTTGGAGGGAAATTGAACAGAGAGCTCATTATGTCGTCGTTTACATCCTAAACTTTCTGTTCACAAACTTTTCTGACTCAAAAAATGACTGTTCTGACCCGATCTATTAAACAAGCATGCCTGCTCACATTTATTCTCCCTATTTCTCATGTAATTTAATATTCTTTTAGGAAATAATGCCTGTACTTGTGACCCAAAGGCGAAAAAGGGCATCAGGTCACAGGATCCTTTTATCTACTGTTGCTGGTATTTGATGATGTGATACATCTTATCTGACACCTTATGCCAGGAAACTCATTTCATTTCATAGCTTTAGCGTTCTGCTATTCTTTCTGTTGTGATGGATTAACATTAACTGCCTGTTCATGTGTGTATTGATAAAAACGTTTTAATTTAAATAATTTTCTATCCATTGTTGCTGTTAGTGCAGCAGTTGGCTACATCAAAGAATTGTAAATTGGGCTTTTACATCCTAAAAAAGTGCTTGATTTTCGTACAGGGCCCTAAAAATCAATCTCTACTTAGAATTTATTTTTTCATTTTTTTATTTTTAGTTGATTTGTGGTAGATTAAATAAAATTTAGATTGCTTTTTTTCCCCATAAATTGCTACACATTTCTTTTCATTATGCATTTCGCACAAGAAGAGGAAATTTCCTCTGAAAGATTTACAAAAGTAATCTGCTATTTTAGTATTTTGTTTACTTTAATTTCACAACAGGCCTAAACAAATCAGCTTGTTAGAAAACACTATGGCGTTTCACAGATTTGTAGGGAAGCATATATCAGGAGAAAAAACTTTTTTTTTTTAAACTACTGGTTTATCTGTAATTTTTTCCCCTCCGTAATTATTTGGAAAGTGGACATTAAAATGTAAATAACTTTGATTTTTCATTTAACACACTGATATATATATAAAGGATTTTTGTTTATGTGTTGATTTTTCCTAATTTCCTAATAGATTTGGACCTCATCTCTCTGTAAATAATTTGGACCACATTATTCCAAAATATTTTTTTCATGATTAAAGATTTTTTTCAAATGACAAAATATCCACAATCCAGACAAACATTTTTCCTACTGACTGCCCTGTGCTCTTCCCTCTGGTGTTCCCCATTTATGTTGAACGTTTTTCTCTTTAATCATGTAAATTTCTACAAATTTTTTTTTAACACACAAAAAAAAAAAAAATCAAGATAAAAGAAATCCAAACTTTTTTTTGTTTCAAAATGTTTTAAGAGGCACTCTTCTGTATGGTGTGCTGATACCATTTTTTGGCCCAGATACCCGATACCTGGCTGTGCAGTATTGGCCGATACCGATACCATCTGTTTGAAATTGATGTGTGTATAAATGAAGAACTGCATACTACTTGGATGTAAAATAATTGCCATCATGGCTTTATCAAGCTGCTGCTACCTTTGTAAAGCAGGAAAAGGATAAATACAAAGTGACTCCAGTAGAACTTTTTATTGCCTACCTGGAATGGGTGACAATAGTTGAATAAACCTTTGGCTCTCAAAATGGTATCAGTGCCCTATTTGTTGGTACCATTCAATACCTTTTGAGATGCTAGATAGCGACTCGCCTCACCTTGGATTCGGTCAACACCTCTTGCCTGGGAAAAGCGGGACGGCATTTTGCTCTGTAGTTCAGACTGGTTTTAAACAAAATGTAAGTGAACTACTCTCAACTAATTTACGCTTAGGTTTATTCTTTCCAGAGTCTTGTTTGTCTCAACTTGGTGTTTGTGTAAACGTGGTGTTTTTAGATGAGCGATTAATTAAAACGCTAAGAACCAATTGGGTTGAGTACATTTGCTCTGCACCATGGCAGGCATGGGATTTATCTTGAGAATCTGACATACAAGCATTTAACTGAGAAAAAAATCGAAGGTATTTTGATGGAAACATTTATTCTGGGTTATTACATTTTTATCTCAGTTTTAACTGAAAGGAAATATCATGGGATTCTATTCATTGTAAGCTACAAATTAAGACACAAATAACATTTAAAATGAATTCGGTATCTGCTTATTAAAGGTATGTGTCGATATCAATACCACCATTTTAGTGCTAGATAGTGACCCTACCCGGTATCGGTACAACACTTCTCTTCTAAAGGAAAAAGGGCGACGCCATTTTTACAATACATGTAGTTCAGACTGGCAGTTTTGGAGAAAGTCGTAACTAATGGTCAGTGGACTAACTACCCAAACCTAATTTAACACCTTAGGTTTATTCTTTCCCCCGAGGTCTAACGCTTGGCTAACATTAGGGGTTAGGAAACGTAAACCTACGGTTGGTGGATTTTAGCGATGGGCAGATCAATTCCAAATATCGCTAATATCCATATTGTGTTGAGTCATTTGTTCTGCACACAGGGACAGGCCCAAAATGGGATTTATTCTTTGAAATCTGACATCTATTTCAATTTGATCATTTTAACTGTTAGTATTAAAAAAATTCCTGAAGGTATTTGATGAAACAATTTATTTGTGGTTTATTAGCAGTTTTTTCTCCTGTTTTTCACAGAAATATCATGGGATCAACCCGGTTCGTAAGCTGGACAAAATTAAAACCACAAAAACATTTAAAATCAGAAGTTCGGTATCCTGCTTAGACATTAAAAGGTATCAGTGTTGATAGTGATATCGTTGATGCTTCCTCCTGTTTTTCCTGGGTATCGGACTGATACCAAAATAAGCTGTATCAAACACCTCTAGTGGGTTTAGGACTAAAAATGTCGCCCCCTGCTGCACCGTGCCCTTAACATTTTTTTTTGCAGGAATTTGCTCCTTTTTGTCCTTTATCTAGAAGCACCCTGACTGGTCACAGTTTTTGCATCCAATCTTGGTATTTATTTTGAAACACATGAAGAAATATCTAGTGAATTTAAAATTTGAAATTAAGCTGCCGACTGAAAAGAGCAATTCCCGCAACTCTGCACACGACACTCGGCAGTCAGGCTTCAGCCTGTCTTCTCGTGTCGGAGGATTCCTCGCTGAGGACTAAAACAGAAGTAGAGGACTGACTTCTGCCTGCTTTGATTCTGCCTGAGGGGTCACAGCCCGGCCTCTTTCTCCCCACCGGTGTGGTCCTTATCTGATGGATCGGTCTGCTACTTTCCCAGCTGGATCAATATCAGCCTGAGGCTTTAAATCCAGACCCAATCACTGACACATTTCTGCTCCTCTGCTGGGCTTGATGAGCCTCTGCTGAGCTCTTTGGCCACATTTAGCTGCCTTAATGCCGCTCACCTATCTTCTAGACAATCCTTCCATCTCAGTAAAAATCACTTTTTTTGTACTTTCTGCTCTCCTTTTGTTCTTTTTTTTAAGTCAGAGTCAAAGGGAGAGTTTGGGGGAGCGCTGTGTCTCCTCAGGAGTTTAAACCACCTGTTCTGACTCTTTGTTGCAGCCGCTGTAAAAAGCAGCATTACTGAGGAGCTGATCTGTGTTCCGATGCAGCGCTGACTGCAGGTGAATTTCAGCCTGATTAACAGACTCAGCCTAAACCGTTAAGTTACCGTGTGCAAAGCTGGGTCGTTGCAGGGATCTCTGTGGGAAGGGAAGCGTCCTTCCGGGTCTCGTCGCAGCTGTTATCCCAGCTCTAGTTCCCAGGCCCGTTTCTTTTATTTGCTTTCTGTTATTTTTTTGTTTTATTTCAGCTTATGTTCAGTGTTTATAACAGCTGAGCCTCTGTGCGGAGCCAGTGAAGTCCCTGCCTGATGTAGCGCACCAGCTCCGTCATACTGCTCTGCTGACTCAAAGGCCCCATCAACGAGTCCAGGTTCTGGAAGAAGTCTGCAGGAAACAGGAGGGGGAGAGGAGAGACGACAGGCAGAGGTTAGAACTGCTGCTGAGGAGAGGTCTGAATGATTTTCTGTAGGAAGACACACATATGAGGTTTAACTCTGCTCTATATTTGTTGTTTCAAAGCTACCATCTTTCTCCAGCACACCTGAATCCAATCAAAGGCTCCTTAGCAGGCCTGAATGCTGATGAGGGAATCCAGCTGTTTCATTCAGGTGTATTGATGAAGGGATGCACCTAAATTGGTTTGTTGACTCACCTTCACCACTCTGCCTTTATAATTTAGATTAGGATTAGTAACACTAATTCCCTCTCTTCTAACATATAAATATCATGTTGACACAGACTATAAGTCAGCAGTTGCAGGAATATATTTTTTGTAAAACATAATTTTTACTAATTCCTAATATTTCAAACTATAAAATAAACATGAAATTAATGTTCACTCACTATTTAATCTAAGCGTAAGATGTAAGGGTTGCAAGTCCCTAGACGTGAAAATATGGTAGAACCACATTAAGACCCAAGAGAAAGAAGTTTAGGGGATAAAATTACTGTAAACTGATTTATGATCTAGTATTAACACATTTACCAAAAGCTTTTCTTGCTTTTATTTTGATATTATTCATCAACAGGAAGTCATTTGGTTTGCATATCTTATTGGGCTCAATGTCCAACTCCACTACTTCCTGAACTTCAGACAGCTCCTTTCGTTCCTGCCTTATTTGACTGGACAAACTTATTGATCCAGGTGTGGTTGTCTATCGTCGTCATGGTTACTGGGCTGGCAGAAGTTCAGGAAGTAGTGCAGTTTGGCATGTAGGCCATAATTATTTTTGATGATCTCTCTTGATCTGAGTGAACATACTCCTGTTAAAACGGGCAAAAATAGGGTGGAAAAACTTTGAAACCCCTAAAAAAACGTCTTTTTGTTTTGATATTCGATATAAACACCTCTGTTGGCTTTCATTTGGTTGCAAACTTCACTCCCTTCCTTTCTTAAAATCATATGCTGAATTTGGGGCATTTCTCCAGCTTCTCTTCTGCTGCTTAGTGAGTGTGACCTAAATCTTAACCAGATCATAAAAGCTTTTCTATTTGCTCATCTAAGCGCCTGCTGTCAGGTGGGAGTTCAGACACAGCAGGAGCCACGCTTCTCCAACTGCAGCGGAGTCAGGGGCTCAGTAGGAGCAGAAACACAGTGAAGGAGCAACAAAAACAGCAACAGAACGTTGCTGCTGTGACAAACCAGAAAACGTTTGTCGAGTTATAATCCAAGCACATGTTGGGGCCCGAGTCTCTGTGGTCCTACCTCTGCTGTCGGCTGCCAGTCTGTCAGCCGTCTCCCAGTGCTCATAGCTCCTCAGGATGTTGTTGGTGATGTTCACATGACTGGCGGCCATGTGGTGGATCCGCTGGGGAATCGCCACACTACCAGACGACCCTGATGCGCCGCCTCCTCCCGGCGCTCCTCCGCTGCTGGCGGGAGATGGGCTGAGAGAGAGAGGCGACGGAGTGCCGTTGACCCTGGAAAACACACAGACAGGCGGTAAATCCCAGCGACATCCTGGGGGCCGAACAGGGAGCCTCTGTTTGATTTAAACGAGTCAAAGTGAGACAACTATTCTGGAACTCAGAGAGGTTATAGTAGAACTGCAAAGCTTTACAATAGATTCAGAGGGATTAAAGCAAAAAAAAAATAAAAAAAATCCTGAGCCTGAACTTTATGACACAGGTGAGAAACTCTTTGAAAATCCAATACCAAAAAAACAGCAAAGTGCATCTATATCTAGTGTGAATGAGAAGTCTGGTTCGGTGAGGAAAGCACAAACCCTTATTTTTAACTAGCATACACGGTCATTTATTGATGCTTTTAACTCAGCTGTTGCCATTAACGTGTAGTGTGCGCAGCTGCATGAACAGCAGCTTGATGACCAGGGTCTAACTCATGTTTGCGTAGTACCTATTTGCCACTGGATGCGTAAACTCCAAGCAATTCTGTTCTCTCTATCATCCTTCTCTCCAAACACAAAGTTCATTTATTTATTTTTTTACTTTTGACCCCTTGCTCACACTGGCTCCGGTGCGGTTACCGAGCCGACGGAGACCGCAACTCCCGCACACCCCCTCTCACACCGCCCTTTTGACTACGGTGCGGTGCGGCTCTGCTGCTCCGGCAACAGGTCCGGAGATTTAACTCGCGAGAACAGAAGTTCACTTGAGTTCACGTAACTTCACGCGATAACATGGCCCAAATAAGGAAGTGTCGAGTAAAGAAAGATCGCATTTAGATATATCACGCATGTCAGCACACTTCTCCGCATTTTTTGGCGACTTTTTGACTTTCTACTATGAAGGCGGAGAGAAAGGACAGACAATACATGCAAACGAAAGTGTTTTATTTAAAAAAAAACAGGAAGTCCTTTTATTCTCATTGGAAAATTTCCTGTTTGTGCCGTGATATTTGCGAGAGCTTGTTGCGGAGGGCTCCGGCACGCCGCAAGGATAGCTTTCTTGCTGAATTTTCTGCAGCGCCAGAGTGTCTCGGTAACCACAGCCGGACAGCTCAGCAGCCGGTGAGAGAGGTTTACGTCTTTTTAATGACTTGGAATCACTGCGGCGCCGCACCCACCGCACCGCAACGGTAAGACCGGAGTCGGTGTGAGCCGGGGGTAACACGTCTCTCATTTGACTGGAGCTGTAAACTGAGCAAGGTGACTTTCTGTTTATAACTTACGTGTAACACTGTACCACAATCTATCTGGCGACTTGAGCAAGAAACGAGAGGATGTAGACGCTTTCCTAAGACCTGCCCCCTTCTTCTTCTGATTGGCTAACACTGTTAGTTTCAGAGTGCTCCTTTGCTACCCTTGGCTGACAAACTTAAGTGGGATTTCGATTGTCTTTTTTAATTTATTTACCATCAATTTATTTTCAAGTGATTTTTTATTTTTTTTTTACCCACGGACAATCGCTACAAGCCGCAAATCCGGCATGGGGCCGGAATACTTTAATCCCTGGATTCATATCCCCCTAATTGTAGTATTTTATTTTATATAACATGACAAACATAAATAAACAATATGGTGAGAAGTCCCCTTTACTCTGATATCTGTAGACTTCTTTAAGATTCCTCCTAAAGTCGCTCATCTCAGCAGAATCTCAAACCTTCTCCTTATCAGTAAGATTATTGAAATAACTGTTTCAACAGTCAAACAGCAGCTGATTCAGCGTCTTCCACTCAGGTTCTACCAAAGTACATAGACTTCCCTTATCAAGGTTGTTCAGTGATATCTGTATAAAACAGACCGTGGAAGAACCAGAGTGCTGATATTATTGGACCTCAGTGCAGCGTTTGATTAACCTGACAACAGCCAGATGCATGTCTCGCTCCGCCTAGCTCCACTCACATACATCTGGGACACCGCTCATTGAAAGCGATTTCCACAACCAAATTTATGGTCTGGCCAATCAGGACGCAGGGCGGGTGTGTCCTGCATGTGACGTAGTGGAGAAGCGAGTTCTGTAAGTCGTTCGTCTATACTTTTTTGGTTGGCTTCTTTTTTTTAAATAAGTCTGCTGTGCACAATGTTGCCTTTTATCCGCACATTTTCATGGCCCAAAGGACATTGATCATTTACCGACATTGTGCTGATTCCACTGTTGCTATATCCAAGATGTCGGCTGTTCTGTTTTGTTTTTTTCCTGCGTAGCTCTCACAGCGTCACGGGTTAGCTTCGGTGTGAGTGGTTGAAATAGCACGTCGATAAAGATGACAGACAACTGGCTTATCCAATCATATGCAAGGAGTTTTGATAAGGCCCAGCCTTCAGTAAAGGCAATTCCTATGGCGGTTTCACAGATGTATGTGAGTGGAGCTAGGCGGAGCGAGACATGCATCTGGCTGTTGTCAGGTTAGCGTTTGATACCATTGATCACTACACTTTATTAGAGCGTCTGGAAAACTGGTTCAGCCTTTCTGGTAAACCACTGGACTGGTTAAAGTAGTTCGGGAAGCAGGTTATATCAGAGACCAGAGAAATTATATGATGTTCCCCAAAGGTCCATCTTAGGGCCCCTTTTATTCAGTATATACAGGCTCCCCCTAACTCAGGTCTTATAAAACAACAACAAAAGTCGCCATCGCTATGAAGACGACACCCAGTTGTTCATCACTCTGTCCCCAAGAGACTATGAGCCTATTTCAGCTCTGGGTAAAAGAGAAGAAATCAAGGCATGGATGAACAAAATATTCTTTTGTTGAAGCCAAACAAAACTGAAGTCATTTTTTTTTATTGGACCAAAGTTTAAAAGTTTGCAAACAGCTTCAGTTAATGCAGCTAGAAAGCAGCAATCAGGCTGTAAATCTGGGTGTAGTTACACCAGCGTATGTCTGACATATGCCAGCATTTTTTGCTAGATTTTTCATACGTCAGGCATAAAATTTGGCAAAAATGCTGGCATACGTTGGATAAGTTATGGATACGTTTTGTATACGTTATGAGAATGCTGAAGCATGGTGAAACACGTTGACATTACTTGTTGTATGCCACCGTATGCCATACATGGGTCATAAGTTACAGGTTAGTTATTTGATCGTTGACATACGTTAAGTGTAAGTTACTCATAAGTCCTGGCATCTACCTTATCCGAAACCTGTGAGTAAGTTGGGCATAACTTATGTGTAACCTATCAATAACTTCTCTCCAACGTATATCAATGTATTTGACGCGTTGCAGACGACCACTGAACGTGTTTCTAACTTCCAGCTACTGTATAATGGCGTATTGGCAGCGTTTTGGTATAAAGAAGGTTCACAGGAGGAAACCGTCAGTTCTCCTCCAGGCTTCATCCCCATCACAGGGTGAGAGAGAAGGTGAGTCTGATGGATCCTCCTTGCTTTCACACCCACGGCCAACAAATTCCTAGCAGATATGATGCTGATTTATTTATTCTTTTTTTTTGGGTGGGTGTTAAACAGCTAGGTTAATACCGCAATCAAATAAATCTTTTTATGCAGACCAGGGGCCTCAGGGCGCATCGCTGCCCCCCTCAGGACACTGGATTGTGCATCATTTTATGGGCATTACGCTGCCGTGCGTTATGCATAAATAAGGCTGTCTATGGAAATACTCTCTGGACTCATTATGAATACGCTATGTAAAGGCAAAAAACTTAAAAAAATACATAGAAAGTTCAGCGTATGCCAGCCATTTAAGAGATTCTGGGACGTCGGGAATACGCTGCCTAAATCGGCAAGCTGTGACAGGGCCCTTTGAGTCCAATGCTGAAGCTCTTAATAGTCACTGCTGCCACCCTCTGGTTTAGGGATGAACTGCTTGTTCCGTCAAATAATGTTAAAGAATCCTTGTAAAAATTCCTGTATCCAGATAATAATCTGGATCATCACCAACATTTAATGGACTGTTCCTTGGACTGAGGCACACCTCTGATAGAAATATTATTAAAATCTGTTCTTAACTTTTTAAGATATCTTTCTAAAAGAAAAACACGACTGAAACCATAACCTCTCAGGTTATTACCACTTCAACACATTGCCTCTATCTTTAGGTCTAGAATTCAGTAAGTGGGGGGGGGCTTCTTTCATTCAAACAGTAGAAGAAGCGAGATCCGTTCTGATATTCTCAGCAAACGAACATAAGACGTGTCAGAACGAATGAGTCTTCCTGTGTAGCGCAGCAGGGCACGGGTCTGTGCCAGTGATGTAATGTCTGTGATGTGGCCTTGACCTCACCGACCCCCAACTTGTGTCTAATTCAGTACCACTCCCCCCCCCCAACACACTCAGAGCGAGCTCCAACCCTGCTGCTGCGCAGCATCAGAGCTGTCCAAACTCATTAGTTTCACATCCGCGACTCCTCCACGCCTCTCCTCCTCCATCCATCATCCCTGCCTCCATGCCTCCATCACTCCTCCTCAGCAGCCCCTCCAGTCTTCTCCTTCTCACATCTACAACAAATCAATCCCTTTATTTGCTTCCTGAGGGGTTTGTTTGAGCAAGCGGCTGTCGTGCGCCGGCTCGGAAAGCTGCAGCAGAGCTCCGGTGAATTATAAATTCTCAATTATGGAGGTGAACCAAGGGGCTGATACTTGTTGGTGTGTGCGGTTACTCACTTTCCGTTGGTCCTCCAAGGAGAGGGGGCTTGATGGGAACTCTTTGCCGAATTCTGGATGACAAAAACACAGTTTTATTAATGCATGTTGTTTACGGCTGAGCAGTAGGAGGAAAACACAAGTTGGAATCTTAGGAGAAAAATGAAAAAACTAAACCTTAAGACAATCCAGAGGCGAGGGTTTACAACAAGACAGTGAAGATTAACTAAAGTTTAGGCATATTTATAAACATGTATCTTGAAATACATCCATTGTGAATCCTTTAATAAAACAGCTAATTTATTTCACAATCATTTAACATCCCAGTGTACTGCAGGGCCTAATATTAGGAAAAGAAACACAAATAATTATGAATAATAATTTAAAAAGGGAAACAAAACTCTATATAAGATCAAAATTATATAACATTACTTACAAAAGGAAGTTTTGTTTTATAGTTTTTATTTTTAATCTGCATTTTTCTCTTAAAGAAAAGATAACAACCGGGTGAACAGGAAACAGAGGAACAGTGAAAATGTCAAACCTTGCAGCTCTGTCTCGAGATTCGGCCCATTTTGGTACTTTTTTTAAAGCTCAGTAACTAGTTACATTATTGCAGCATATTTATGAAAAAAACTAACTTTACGGATTGGTATTTTTGGACAACCATTGGAGAAGTGAGGAGGAAAAATAAAATTTAAGAACTAATATTCTAGAGACATCCAGTAAATTTTTTTTTATTTATTGATATTAATCATTAAATTCCTAAAACTATTTATGTCAGTAGAAACGCTAGAAGGACTATTCTCCCTGCTGCCCTCTGGGAAGAGGCTTTGCAGCATTCGATGCAAGTCCAGCTGATTCTGCAACAGCTTCTTCCCCACCGCCATCAGACAGCTGAACTGTTAAAAAACTCTAAATCATGTCATAGAGTCTGCATCACACTGATAACACCAAACCAAAATACGGCATATTTGCACCGTATATATTTGTCCTGAAATGCTCTGAACTTCCATATAAATGTGTTTTTGAGCCACATTTTTTTTTTGTTCTCCTACACTGTTTACATTTGATCACTGCTGCACTTTATGAAATGTAGATTTATTTCACTGCTAAGCTGCTGCTCATTTACAGTCTGAAAGCTGTTCAAAATGAAATTTTGGTTCGTATACTGTATACTGTGTATACAAAATTACAATAAATGTTGTCTAAGTCTAAAAACTGTCTCACAAGCTTCAGCACACTTCATTGTATAGAATGTGAATGTTTTAATGAGAATAAAAGGTTCTGTCTGAAAGGTGAGATGTCTCATTTCTTCCAGAGCAGGAGCCTCACTCCTGCCAAAGCAGGACTCCTATAGCATACTACACATCCATTACAGGAAAACATGTTCAGCTTAATTTATTAATAATAAAATAATTGAACTTTATTGATCTCACATTGGAGAAATTTACCTCTGCATTTAACCCATCCCCTTGGGAAGCAGTGGGCTGCCATCGTGGAGAGAGCAGTGCAGGGTTACGGGTCTTGCACAGAGACCCAGACAGGCAGTTTGTGGGAATTGGGCTCGAACTCACAACCTCAGGATTCCACGCTCTATGCCCTAACCACTAGGCTGCCACTCCACTCTAGTGGGAAAAATCCCTTAAATGAAAAGAAAACCAATCTAATATGCTGCTGTAATCTCTTATTCTTTTAATAAGCCATGTAACTTGCTAGGATCACATCTGATGTTGCTCACAGGGGTCCTCAGTGAACTCCGGGGGGTTTTGTTTCTGCTCAGGCACATGAACAATTAGAGGGAATATTTAGAGGTATAGTGGAGGATGTTATTTTTCCGGGTTGATCACCAAAATAAGTGATCCTCCTAATTGTCAATCATTCTGTTGCTATGTTTACATAAGGCCATCCTACATACTCGTCTCCATTTTCACTTACCGGCGGTGAGTCTGACATAGTGGGAAAATTGCAAATCTTCTTTTGGAAAGTAACTTTTAAACAGAGCGTACACGAGGAGTAATGGGCTTGTGCATTCACTCGTACACGTTTAATAGGTGTTCCCTCTCTGGAGCAGGTACAGAGTTGTGCATGTGCCCTGCAAAAACAATCTAGACCATCTAGAAATAAGTAAACATTTCTTAAATTAAGTGTATTTCCCCTTAATTTGAGCAGGTAAATTAGATGATTTGCCAATGAAATGAGTAGTTTTGCTCTTAAAATAAGATAATTAGATAATATGCATTTGAAATAAGACAATGAAACAGTTTTTTCATATTTTAAATGTAAATTGTCTTGTTCCATTTGCAAATTGTCTCACTTACCACCTAAATTCAAGAAAAAATGCACTTATTTTATTAAAAATGACATTTAGATTTCTAGTTTTTTGCAGTGTGCATTTTTTTTAAGTGGAGAGAGCAGGTCTTCAATAATTATTGCAAATCCTCTACAACACCTTTAGCTTCCCTCTAATTCATTGCATTATAAAACTGCCTTTGTGTGTTGTTTTTTTTTTTTTTTATTTAAATGGTACAAAAAAAGTTTTGAGGACGAAGGTTTGAAGACAGATTGACCAAAAGATGAATTTCCTCAGTTTTAAAATGTCTCTGTAATTTACACAATTCTCTAAATCATCTCTATTCTTTTTTTAAATGCTAATTTCCTTCCTTTCCAGGCTGTAACTTCTGAGAAACGTTAGTCGGCTAAATGAGTTACAGAACTGCTCTGACTGTTGTTTTGCAAAATGAACCGCTCTGACTTTGTCAACACATCTCGTCTGTAAACAGCCTGCGCACATATGCGCAGCTAAACCCCCTGTCAGTTCCTACCCAGAAATCCAATCCCATCAGTGTAAAACGCAGAACTGTGATAATGACATCCTCAGTAATTAATTCAACTAAACGTAATTAATCAAAACAAGCACATTAAACTGCAACAATCCACTGTGATGATGGATGGAGCTAATTAGTGCATTAATATTAAAGGAAAAAGAAAGGAATTTCACAACGGCATGCAAAATTAATGCACAGGCGGCATGAAAATGGATCTGAAATGAGTTTTAGGGGACTGCAGTTGGCGCTGCGCCGCCTGTCACTGAGGCAGGCGATGAGAGACAGGGGAAGGAAATAAACTCTGTTCAATTGCTACCTTGAAGTAGTCCATGAGCGAGCGCGAGTACTTGACAGCGTGGTCTTTCTTCAGATGGAACATCCTCAGATACAGCAGAGACAGACAGCGGTTACTGTGGGAACACAAACATTAGGAGGCAGGTGAATCCTCTGTACAGATTTCCTGGTAAAGCTAAATATTATTTTATACAATCCATACAGAATTCAGTTCAATTCCGTTTATTTATATGGCGCCAATTCACAACACGTGTCATCTCAAGGCACTTTACAGTTCAACCAGATCAAACAGTCAAATTGATTCAAAGTTTTCTTTTGTAAGGAAAACCTTGATTGCCTCATAACTAATTGACTCGAAGGCAATCTCTCACACTAAGCATGCTTGTAGCGACAGTGGAGAGGAAAAACTCCCTTTTAACAGGAAGAAACCTCCAGCAGAACCAGGCTCAGTGTGAGCGGCCATCTGCTGAGGCCGACTGGGTTCAAGGAGACAGAAGCAGAGATACAAAAAGCAGCTGTAAAAGGCGGCCCCATCCAGGAAACACACAGCCAGGCAGTCGAGCTCCATGCCAGCTCCCATGTCAGAGGATGAAGAGAGCACACCAAGTTAGTCACAATCAGAGAAACAGGACTACACTGAAAAACAGGCCGATCTCCAACACCTATAAACAAAGGTGTTGATGGCAGCAGCACAGCTGATATTTCTCTCCAGGATGAAATATCCCCTGTGAAAGCGAAGACTTCAGAAACGCCCTTTATGAGAGGAGACTTATGTTAATATTAATTTAGCTTTTATTTTATCTGCATATTCTGGGCATGTCTACATTTATTTTACACTACACTGAGATCAAGGAGCAATGAAAGACAAAAAGGGAAACAAATAGGGAAGCCTGCAGTCGTTAGTGGTACGAATCTTATTTATAAACAACATTAATCTGGTAAAAAGGCAGATTGAAAACTGTTGGTTTTCAGGACACCAGACATTACTTTTCTGCTTTTCTGGAGTTAAGAGGATATGGTCTGCCTGGAACAGAGCACTGACAGTCAGCTGGACTGCTGGGGTCTGAGGATTCTATGGCAAAATGCATCAAACAACAAACATTTGAATTGGTTGAGGAGGTCAGAGGGGCTGAATTTTTACAGAAGATGGAAGACCATGTACGGAGATGCTATTTCCCTACTATTTAGTGCTTCTAACGTGGAAAACTCCACAAAGATGAAAGTTGTTACCAAACTGATCACATCGTAGCAGGTAAGAACACATTGTTGTCGCAAAATAAGCTTAGCTATCAGTACTTATTGTTTATAATAAAAAACTTGTCATATTTATTTAAATAGTATACTATCCATTTTAGTTACACTCAGCTCAACTTTATTTATAAAGCACTTTAAAACAACCACAGCCGCCACAAAGTGCTGTACATACCAAGTTAAGTTAAAATTGTATAAAAACAACATAGAAGTTTAAAAAATAAAACAAATATAATAAGATATATTGATTAAAACAAATAATAAAAATAGGTTTTAAGACAAGTTTTAAAAAGGATTGTTTAATATGGGGGAGCTCATTCCATAAATCTGTAGCAGTAACCTAAAAAGCTCTGTCTGCTCTGAGCCGCTGTTTGGACCTCAGTGCCTCCAGCAGCAGCAGGTCAGCTGACCTGAGGCACCGAATTGTTTTTATATATTTATATATATATACATATATATATATATACATATACATATATATATATATATATATATATATATATATACATATATATATATATATATATATATATATATATATATATATATATATATATATATATATAAAAATGGCAAAATCTTTTGTTTTCCAGACACTTTTTTGAAATTCACATTTTCCTAATCTCGCTTTTTCTCCACCACGAGCTTCTTTTCCGAACATACGGCTTTACGATCAATCGGAAGCAGTTCTGTGCAAACACGCAGATCCACCTATATTCTATATATCCGACAAAATTGTTTTTATAAATTTATTTATTTATTTATTTTAATAAAGCATTTTAAATGCCATGATAATCACATTTAATGAATTTTAAGGCCTTAATTTAAAAAATAATATTTGAATGACTTAATGATTTTTAATGACCCGCGGAAACCCTGATTAAAGAAATTAGGTGCAGAAAAAGTAGGTTTCCCTTCTTCGGTATGAAGCTGACACACAAACAAATGAGTGAAGAGGAAGGACGTACCAGAGAACTGCTAGCCTCTTCTCCAAGATGGTGGCCGAGTGGCTGGTGAAGTTCTTTAACCTCATGGCATACCTGTAAGAAAGAGAATATGTTCACCCCTTCAGGAAAATTTAGATAAATTCATCTGTTACTGATGGAATAAAAGAGTTTTTAAGAACCAAATGGACATAAATCATTGGAGATTTATGGAAGTAACAGCTTTATTATTTATTGATCTTTGAAGACAAATTCTCATCTTTTCTGCTGTCGTTTCTTTAGGGGAGCAGTCAAAGGGGAAACCACTGATCTGAAACCCTGCTTCTTCCAGCGATTCAGTGCCTTGCTCAAGGACACTCCATCAGGATGGATGAGTGCAGATGAGCGGATCTTGAACCCTGACACTCGAGTTAAATGACCGTGTCCCACTTCACGGCCCCACCGTCGGCCCAGCACCGCTCAGACGGAGCCGCTCAGATGGAGCCGCTCAGATGGAGCTGCTCATTTATTATTCGCGCCTCGCTCTTTCTGAATCGCACTCACTGGTTAGACAAGCTGGCATGCAGCTCTCAAAAGACAAAACCCTGAGATCTGGTAGTGTAGCACTGGCTGAATAACACGGATTAGCAACCATGTAGCTGTGTGAGGCTGGAAAAACAAAAAGCCTCTGAGCTGAAGGGTCCAGCTGATTAAAGACAGGTACAGTCTAGTTTGTAATTTGCAGTGGAAATGGATGGAAACATACATGGCCGCAGTATTTACGGTAAAAATAAAATGACAAATTTTCAATTTACATAAAAGGAAGGACTATTTTCACATCAGGCTATCACAGTTCCACGCCTCCTAGTGACCATCTACAACTAACAAGCAAATTAAAATGGTGGCGCCCTTAACATTCAGAAAGTTTGGTTGTAATTTTGTTGTTTGTGGAAAGTCAGGCAAAGAAGGCAGCCTTTGGTGAATTTACTTGACAGATTCGGCTTTTGGGAAGTGGATATAACAAACAATACACTGAAAAAAAAATGAAATCTACTCATTTTTTCTTAAAATAAGTAAATCTTTTCTTGAATTGAGGACGTAAGTGAGACACTTTTCCAATAGAACAAAACAATTTACATTCAAAATAAGGAAAAAACAATTGCATTGTCTTCTTTTACGTGCAAATTAGCAAATTATTTTATTTTAAGACTAAAAATATTAATTTCATTGGCAGATTCACGACGCTACGGAAGCCGGCAGACCAAACCAGATGAAAGTGCGCATTCAGCGTCTGCTCTGCCAATAATGCAAGCGTAGAAGAAGAAATGTGCTGTTTACCTGTGCAAAGAAAGAAACAACAAAAGAAAAATGTCTGAGGACTTCAGTGTTGAGGAAGAGCATGAGTTCTTTGCCGAGCTGAATGCGCACTTTCATCTGGTTTTGTCTGCCGCGGTTTCCGTAGACTCGTGAACGCGCTTTTAGGAAATCCTATACACTACTGTTTATGCTCTAAAAACATTCTAAATGACTTCGTTTCGAGTAAATTCTGGATGCTACCCACTCAGGACACTTGGAATACATTGGACGAGCAGTATGGAGGAATATTGACACGTTTTTTGTGGACTTTTATGGACCTTTCTGTCTCGGTCACCATAGACCTCCATTATTTGAATGTCAGCAGACAGCAAGAAGCCTCCCAGATCTCCAGATGCATTTGAGATATCAAAAAAGTACTCCAGAGTTTTGTTCAGCATGAGGGTGAGTAGAAAATGAAGGCTAATCATGTTTAGGGTGTACTATTCCTTTAAGTAATGTTGACTAATTTCTAGATGTTTTAGCAGTGTAGTCTAATCAGGGCTTACAGACGCAGGAAACAATGAAAGATGTTGAGGTTGATCACACTGCTAAGCAGAATCATCACTGGAAATCGTGTGACACGGTAGGAAAGCTAGTATTTTTATGAATGTCTGAAATTTCATTAATACGGAGGCTGACTGTAAAAAGATGATGCTGTTTTGTGGCAGTTGGCAAGAAACTTACTGATCTGCGTTACCGCCAACTACAGGAAGCTGACTGTAAGGAGATGATGCGGTCTGCTCATGCGCTCGTGAGCCAGAAATGAACCGCGCTGAGCCCTACGGTTCGGTTGTGTTCAGTTTTGCGTGCCGTTTACACTCAACAGTTATCTCGGTTACCATGCTCGGACAGATCTCGGTACGGTTTAAAAATACGTAGTTTAAATATGGATAAAGCTTAATGGGTAGGTCTTAAGACATCTTCAAAAAACTAAGCTGAAGTCCAGTTGCTTTCCAATTTAAGCCTGTTGATTTTTGCCATGACATAGATGGCTGAGAATTTACACAGGCAAATAAAACAGAGTATTCAAAAGTTTACTATGCTAACTGCATTAGAAAGCACAGAAAACGTTAAGCCTTTTTCCAGTAAAGGGTAATACTAGTTTAACAGCAGTTATTTGATTACCATCACAGGGCCTTAGAAGAAGATATATTAAGGAAAATGTTTTGCCTCTTCAATATGTTTGCTCTCTGTTTTGGTATGACTTGCTGATATTTTACCCAGTAATATATGTGAGTGATGGAAATAAATATTTATTTTATTTTTGGAGCCTAAAGCTTTACTTTAAATGTCTTAAAAATTACTGACCAGTAATTTCCTTCCTGCACAGGACATCAAACTACCACATTGTAAATAATGAAAACACACAGATTTAGTGGTCTACAAATAAAATAATCAGAATAAAATAAAAAAAACCTTTAAAACCACAGACACAAAGAAATAAGCAAGTTTTAAAAACTGTCGGCACCAAATGTGCCTTTATAGTTTACTTTTTGTGCCACTGGGAGGGGAGCAATAAACAAATATGTCAACAAAATATGTCATAAATTGTCAAAATAATGCCTGGGACGTGCAGACAGCACTAAAAGATCCATTTACTCAGTTTGTCCTGCTGAAACTCTGTTCCACAAAAACAACAGTTGTTCCAACATTACAGAGACATTTAAGCTTTGCTTTCTGTAAACCTAATGCATGTTGTGGAGTAAAAATGTTGAGGTATGTCTGTTCTTTGCCTCAAAGGCTCCAAATGATGATCATGTGAGGTAAGAATGAGTTAAACAGCCTACTTCATGGTATGAAGGGGAGGACTGTTGTTATGAGAAGTGAAAGATATATTAAACTGACAGGGAACGGCCTTTATGAACTCAAGTTGTTTTTCCTCCAAATGTTCAAGTGTGAGAAAGTTCTTTATGCAGGGGGTGGGTTGGTTCCCCTGGGATTTTGTAAGGTATAAATGTATGTACTGAGGTTGCCTTAGTCAGAGGTCTATCTCTCCGTCTGAGGACGTTAATTAAATTTGAACCTTTTTCTTGCTAGAAATGTCTCAGCTTCCTAACTCCACAATGTAAATTTAAAGCCAAAATAAACCTTTTCTGATTTTATAACATTTTAGCAGCTGATGTTTGAGACCAGGCAAATAAAGAGCAGGGATGGGTTCATGTTGACTGTTTGAGTGATTTCTGAATGTTTAGTTAATGGATGAAAACCAGTCTTAATCTGTGTGGAGGGAACCTGAGCTGGATCTTTTGAAGGTCGAACCTACACAACACAGAGAAGTAAAAGTTGTAAAAAAATTCATTAAGGTCAGTAAAACTCCATTCGACTGGCAGAAGAGATTACTCAATCCCATTGTATTTGACAGACAAGTACGTAAACGAGTACTTGTCTTAAATAAATAAACTTGTCTTAAATAAAAACCATAGATGTGCGACCTGTTACCTCCTGCTGCTTGTTCTCCATACCTGATCAGCTCCACGGTCTCCGAGTACATCGTATACGGCGATTTGGCCTCCAGCGGGTCTCGCTCCATGGCGTTCCCACACTCTATGAAGGAGAGGGCCCCATCTGCGTAGTTCACAGCTTTCCCGAATTTATCCGTCTGCAGCATACGGAAATAAAAGGAAGATGATAGACAGGTCGAGACGGGAAGAAATGCCAGAGAGAAGCATCCTAACAGCGCAGCCTTCACTTTGAATAATCTCCCACTAAGATGCTTATCCCCCAGATAAGTCTGAGAAAACAATGAGTACACCTAAGATAAATAACAAGTTCAATAAATCTCAGTTCATTGTTCGGGGAGGATCCAATAATTCTTCTGATACTGTATAGTCTTGCAGACATCATCACTCTTTGAGTACAATGCCCCCTTAGAGACAAACGGTGTAATAAATAACACAAATTATACAGTCCAGTCCTTGATACTAAATAGATTTGCATTCTGCAGAGACTGAAAGCCTGCATACGAATACAGCACAGGCAGTAGAAGTTAAACACCGAGTGTTTTCAAAGCAGTGTATCTAATGCTGTCTGAGCCTGAACTCATAGGGGTGACTGTGGATCATTCACCGATTGATTTTCAGAGAAGTGCAACATCTTACCAAAGCATCAGCCTTGTGCTTCAGCCTCTTTGCCTCCTGCATGTAGTACTCTGCACTGTGGACTCTGTAAAATAACAACAACAAGAGAGGACATTTAATTCATGTCTGCACAAAGCAATAACTAAACAAACAGGCTAGAATGATGGAGTGATTTACATAATCACTGACTACACAGAAGCCTGCTTATGTATACAAACCTCAGGCTTGTTGTAACCTTAGAATAACAACAACGAAATATGCTTCATGAATAATGCAGAGGCCTTTTGGGATAAATAAGTACGGAGATGTATCATCTGTCCCAGTTTTAACAGAACTGGACAAGTGCTGATGTAGTTAATGTTGCTACATAACACTAACAGGCCACCTTTTGGCTCTTATTAAGAACAAACCGCAACATCCTTAAAACTGAGAGTGTAACTTTGGATGGGCTTAACTGTTATTCTTTCTGTCTCTGAGGAGTTTGTGATGTCCTGGGACTCTTAAAGTCTCTGAAATCGTAAAGGTTACTTTTTTCAATACGTAACTTGAGACCCCAAAAAGTTCTGAACATGTGGCATTCTCCAAGGCTCCATCTTAGGGCCCTTGGGGCCAGCTGCTTCAACTTCTTCCATTCAGTCTGTTCCACAGACTGTTCTTATTATGGTGTTCAGTGCTCTTTATGATTCAGGACTGGATCAGTTTATATCCTACTAGAGAAACAGGGACTTCTTTGAGTCAGTCGGTACCTTTACATCAGAGACCAACAACTTCACGAGTTTCCCAACGGTTCATCAATTTATTCACTATATACAGAGTTTATACAGACTGAGTGACTCTAATTCAATGCTTTTTAATGCTCTTAGTTGACAGAGAATGTCACTCCATTATACTGTCTCCAACTGTGATTTAGCTCTCTGTTAGGTGGTGGTTCAGGTGGTTCTGGTGACTATCAAAGGAATGTTAAAATTTGGCTCCAGGAAGGGCATTAGTTTACAGAAGTTTTCTCCATCTTTCATGCTAATTGCTGGCATGTCCTTTTCTAACATGTTCCAAAAACTTAGCGTAATGTCCACCTCTTTTCTATCATCACAACCTCACCTTCAGAGCACAGCAGAGACGTTATGCTGCTCCACCATGCAGCATGGTTGAATTTTCCCTATTTCGGTGAGAACTGAAGGAGTTTGTCCAGGATTCATATTTAAAAACATATAAAGTTCATTCTGCACATGTGAAGAAGTTGAATTCCCAAAGAGTGACAATGTGTGTTTCAGTGGAGATTGATAATGCATCATAAGAGAACACAGCTTCATGTGTGCTGAGTTTCTAGTCATCATCATGCGGTTTGTTCTCTGGTGCTGTGTAAGAAACCTCTGAGGCCGTCACAGAAAAGCCAGATTTAGATTAGAGCTGTAGCAATTAATCGCTATTGTTTGATTACTAATTTGGTGATAGAATTATGTGTGTGTATAAACATTCCATTAGCTGAAAATAAAATACAGTCGCAGCAGTAATTAAGCCAAACCTGTAACCTGTATGTAAGAAATACATAATTTATTTTTTTCTTTTAATATACTGTATTCAAATCTCCTCAAGTGGTAGTTTTAGTTTCAAATTCTGTACATAAAAAAAATCCTACAAAACACAACTACATTAATCAATTAGCAAAATAATCATATATATATATATATATATATATATATATATATATATATATATATATATATATATATAGGATTCATTTTAAATGTTTTTTTCATTTTATGATTCTTTTTTTAAAGTGTGCAAGTTTGGATGTTAATTTACTGAGTATATGTTTTATATACTCACCAGATTAACTGATAACTAAAATAATCAATGGCTGTAACGCTAATTTATGCTGAAAATAAATTACACCTAGTTGGAGTTCTGTTATTGGCTAGTTTAGCTTTGAAAGCAACTGGTTGAGCCTAATGTGAATTTATTATTTTTTTTTGTTTAGATAAAAAGTCTCTAAACAAACAAATTCTTGTTGTTTCTAAAAGTGAATGGGGTTTGAAATGTGCAAGTTTATGATGTTCTGTCCATTAAAATCCAAATTAAATATATTGCTGTTTGTGTATTTGGTTTTCAAGTGAGAAATGAGGAGAAATTTACTAATAGTGAAAACCTTTGTTAGGCCAGTATTTGGCACATGATTGGCTGGGATTTCAGGAAACACCTGCTCCTTGTTGACCAATCAAGGCTGTCTACAGATAATGCCACATATATGACGTTGAACTCTGCCGGCGTTTTCTGCCGTTGCGTCGTACGTACGTGTCAGTGAATGAAAGCCTTGGCCTTCGTGGTTCAGCCTGGTCCAACAGGGCCTCGGACCACACCTCCGAGTCAGAGTGGCCGTTGGAGTGGTAACTGTCTGCGCCGGGTTTGTCACCACCAGAGTCCAGGTCCTAATGTAGAGAGATCGTTAAATTTCATGGTTTCAACAGCTGAATAAATTGTTTAACAATTAGGCATCAAACGTTACTGTTGATCCAGAGTGCGTCATTAAAACTTAGAACAAAAAAGGGAAACCATCAGCTTGCTCAGTCCCATAAAAGTCCTGTATCATTATAATAGAAATAAATCATCAGATGTTGGCCTATCCTTTAGGGCAGTGGTTCCCAAAGTGTGGGGCGCGCCCCCTAGGGGGGGCGCAATGCCATTGCAGGGGGGGCGCGGGAAGCGGTATGGATGAATGAAGAAGAAAAAAAAAAAAAAACAGCGCTTGCTTGACTGAGCATAATGGACAGTTGTGACACTGTAACCCAGATTTGAGAAGATCTACAGCAAAAAGCAGGCTCACTACAGCCACTGAAAAGATGGGAGGATTAAAGTACAAAGAAAAAACTCTCAGGGAGCTGTTAAATGTTTTCACTCCATTTTGCACAGAGGCTTTTTTAATGTATAGATTATAGCAAAGTTAAATATTGTTACAAATAAAAAAAAATAAATATGTTTAAAATAACACAGACAACAAAGAATCCTCTTCTGATCTACAGTATAGAACTATTAAAAAAATGCAGTTACACAAGTGTTCCTACAGATGGTGTAGTTTGTTTTGTTGCAACCTGAATGTGTATAGATTTATTATATCTGGTTGAACGATGTGTGTGACCAGTTGATGCTTTTTTTTTTTTTTTTTTTTTTTTTTTTTTTTTGGGGGGTGGAAATTTTATTGTAATCCAAAGGGGGGCCCAGAAGAAAATCTTTGGGAACCACTGCTTTAGGGAACACTTACGCTTCCGTTTCTTGCAGTCTTGCCCTCGCCTCTCCGGTGTCTGTGCGAGGAGGACGAGGAGGAAGCGGATGACGTGGAGCAGGGCAGCATCCCCACAGAACCGGCCTCCTCGGCGAGAGACGGGCCGCCTTCACAGGCGCGTTTGCGTGGCGGCTCATCGGAGAGCGGCGACAGCAGGGGGGGCAGCAGCTTCTCGTCACGTCGTCGGGTCTGCTTCCTGCTTAGAGAGCCGCTGGAGACAGAGATAAGAGACAAAATAAATATTTACTGTTTTATTCATATTAAATCTATGTTTTGAACACAAACAGAAGATTAACATTTTTAGAGTAATACTGAATTGAATGTAACACATACCTATGTGAGCATTTTGAGTTAATAAATACACGTGAACTATTCTCCATTAGCACTTTCAATGATCTATGCAGGGAGCTTCCATGCCATGAGGCCCCCAGTATGTCCCAACTGATTCTTGCTTCTTTTCTTGCTTGTTGTGCTAATGCAGATTCTTTCCTGTTCACACTTGGACCTATGTATGCGCTCATGTCAACTTTTGTCAGTTTGCAGGGATTAAAGCAAAAATATATACAGACAGTGGCGTTGGATGTAGGAGTTTGCCATGAAATCGAAGGGTTGACGGTTCAAGCCCCGACTCCGACTTTCAGTGTCGTTGTGTCCTTGGGCAAGACACTTCACCTGGATTGTCTACTGATGGTGGTCAGAGGGCCCGGTGGCGCCAGTGTACGGCAGCCCCGCTTCTGTCAGTGAGCCCCAGGGCAGCTGTGGCTACAATGTAGCTTGCCATTATCAGTGTGTGAATGGGTGAATGAATGTAGTGTAAAGCGCTTTGGTCAAGTCTCCTAACTTGAATAAAGGCGCTATATAAGTACATGCCATTTACCATGTGTGTGTGTGTGTTTTCAAGCCATGCCAGGAGGGTGTGGGGGCATGGGATCAGAGCTTGCATGAATAATTGAAGTCTAAATTTGACCTTTGAAAATCCAATACCAACAACAGCCAGAAGATAGCAGAAGTGCGTCTATATCTAGTGTGAATGAGAGGTTGGGTTCGGTGAGGAAAGCACAAACCCTTAGTGTGCAGAACGGCACCAGCCCCCTTCTTCTTCTGTTTGGCTAATACTGTACGTTAAAGAGCGCTTCTTTGCTACCTTTGGCTGACAAACGCAAGAGGGATTTCAAATGGCTTTTTTTTTTTTTTTATTTACCATCAATTTATTTTCGATTCATTTTTTTTTTTTCCCACGGGCAGAAATCCGGCCTGGGGCCGGAACACTTTAATCCCTGAGTTTGAGAAGGAAAAAACCCAACTATTAAAGATATTTTTGATTTATGCTCAATATTGAAGCATGTTCTGCGCTATGTTATTCCACGCCACAACGCAAGAGGGACAATCAGGAACTAGCTGTGGGTCTAGATACGGCCGAGGCAGTGAGGAAGCGGGGGTATGTTTGTCAACAATGGAGGGACATGAGGGTGAAAAAGAGCGGGGATCCAGGTGGAAAAAGGGTCCCAGCGTTCCCGCACAACTCGCTCTTCTAGCTGGTCCGTCTTAATGAGTGTTTTCCACAATGGCAGTCATACAAACAAAACAAGCCTGTAAGGTACCAAACAGGTAATATGCATAATGTAGAGCGGATGTAGATTTGACCAATCAGAGGCCTCCTGTCTGTGGTCACCTAGTTTTGGAGAGGTGCAGCAGAGTGTCTGCGGAAGGGGCGGGGCATATTTTTGCGACACACAGACGACCTGGTTTCTGAGTATAAACCAGCTTTAACTGTTTAGGGGCCTTTCTTTGCCTTGGGGCATTAAGTTGACCTGTAGTTTGTTGAAGCCTTACAGAGGGCTTTAGTTGTGTTTTATTAATGTTATAGTGACCAAACTTTAACCAAACCAATTTAATTCCATTCAATTCAGTTTATTTATATAGCGTCAATTCACAACACATGTCACCTCAAGGCACTTTATAGAGTCAATTCAACCAGATCATCAAGTGAGATTTGTTCTTTTCTATCTAAGGAAAACCAGTTGATTGCATCTACTCATTGGCTCTACAGCAATCCCTCACACCAAGCATGCTTGTAGTGACAGTGGAGAGGAAACCTCCCTTTAAACAGGAAGAACCCTCCAGCAGAACCAGGGCATTCTTTAAACTTCTCTGCCGTCTCCCTGACGTTTGTTCACTAATGTTCACTGACACAACTCTAAAGCCTTTGGAGAACAACTGCTTTAATCCCATGTTTAAATTAGACAGACTGACTGTAAGTAAATGAATACAAACACATAATGCCTTTTCCTCATTCTCTCTTTACATCCCACATCACAAAAGCTATGGATAAAGTTTAATAGTCTAAATATTTTACAAGGAACCATAAAGATTTCCAAAATTCCACCAAAATTCTTTGTAGGCTGGAAGTTGTCGTCAAGAAGGATTGCTCAATGGTTTAAAACAATACACCTGCATGCTGTTGTTCCTCTGCTCCAATGTGCCAGATTCATGGCAGCCCCAGCTTGACATCAACTTCTTCCAGAGAGCGGTTTATTACTCCTCACTTTCCATTTGCTAAATTAGGTAAAACATCTAAAACGCGCAGAGCAGCAGACTCTGGGGGCCAGGACTGGGAGACAACACCTTAAATGCACCAGAAGGAGAGGATGCAAAGTGGAGAGACTCCTGGAGGAGCCTGGAACGAGCGGAAAACAATCCCCTTAATTATCATTAGCATAACTTCTTCTCATTGGAGCAATGAGCCCATCCAGAGGAGCTTTAAACAGGGAGAAACAACCGTTTAAAAATATATATAAATATATATATTTCATTTCTTCTAAAAGTGCATTTTTCCTTCCCTTGTTTCACATTCATGGTTATTCCCTCAGCTGCCAGGTTGGAGCTCCAATGACTCACATTGTTTGCAACACAAGTGATAATATTTTTATGTTTTTCCTCTCTCTGGAAACTCTGGGGGGTTTGATGCAGCTAGAAAGTTGCTGAGCTCACAGAATAGGGCCCCAGGCACCGACATTAGAGATGATATACAAAATAAGGGAGACAAAGACTAATTACCTGCACTAGAGTATGTGTGTGTGTTTGCTGTGTGCAGCATAACCGCTGTGTGTTTGTGTTTGGATCTACTAATTTGCATGCATAAGGTGTTAAGTCTTCTCCTCCCTAACAGGCTCTGTAGAACCGGTGTTATATTTTTACCCTCTGTATATCTTGTTGAGTTATAGACTCACAGTGATAAATGGCTTTATGATCAACAAGCTCTTTATTGGTCTTTGTTGCCAAGATTGATGCAAATCTAAGGGAAAAAGAGTTTTGATGCTGCTGATTTTTGTTGTAATGTATGTTATCACCTGGAAATCTGATCTTTTCAGGTCAAAATGTTTGTGCTGCGCTTCAGTTAAAAGCTGCCCATCAATCAATAGGAAAGACTTTTTTTTTCTGTGGGATTTTGTTCATACCAGTGTTATTTTGGTAAATTTCCATCATTAGCGAAAGAGTGCTAACATTACTCCACCTTGTTAGCAACAATCAGCATCTCACTTGCAGGCGCTGGTAAACTATGTCACTACTAGTGTTGCGCCGATACCAGGATCAGGCGGGGCCCCGATCCAGTACTAAAATGGTGGTATCGATATCTGCGAGTACCAACAAATAGGGCGCTGATACCATTATGAAAGCCAAAAGTTTCTTCAACTATTGTCAACAATTCCAGGTAGGCAATAAAAAGTTCTACTGGATTCACTTTGTATTAGTCTTTTTCCTGCTTCACAAAGGAAGGCAGCAGCTTGACAAAGCCATGATGGTAATTATTTTACATCCAAGTAGTATGCAGTTCTTCATATATATTCACACACACATCAATTTGAAACAGTTGGTATTAGTATGGTATCGGCTAATACTGCACAGGCTGGTATCGGGTATCGGTACCGGTCCCAAAAAATGGCATCGGTGCAACACTAGTCACTACCCAATCCCAGAAGGACAATCATCTGCTCATTTGCGCAATCAGATATACATCCAGGGCTTCCATAATGTAATTATGGTACTAATATTACTTATTTCTATCCTTAACTCTTTTTTTCTTTCTTTTTTCTGTCTTAATGTTGGCAGTGGGCTTTATGCTGCCCTGCGAGGCTTTAAACCTGGGTTTCAATGGAGACTAAGCCTAAAGCACATATCAAGGAGCTCATTTTGAGCTTGGATCCATATTTATTTTTGATTCTGTTCATGGTGGAGAATCCTGCTTCACAGCAACAGGTTGAGCCAAACATCCTCTAAATGTGCAGGGTCACCTTTGAGCACCATTTCACTTTTCTTTCACCAGTTCACCACAGTTCTTCCAGCAGTCCACACTTTCTCTGCTCTCTTTTTCTCATCATCTTCTCCCGGCTTGCCACAGGTTTGCCTGCTGTGTCTAAAAGTAGCAGCAGCAGCAACCCAGACTGACAGCAGCTTATTGGATCATTTGGCTCATGTGCAGCCTGCTGATGGATGCCCCAGTGGGCTTTACCGTATTAACAGGAGAAGTGGTGCAAGTGAAATTAGACACTGTCGTCAGACAACATGTGGTAATTAATAAATGTTTTAGATCAGGTTGGGTCCGGAGTAGCCAGCAGGTGGGTTAATCGTTAATCTATGACCTCTGCAATATGTTAAATGTCCCCAGAAATCATGGATGTCGGGTCACCATAGAGCAAACAGATTAGTCAGATTCTCATTGGAGCCTCTGAGAAAGAAAAATGAGTATGGAAAAGGGTCTGAAGGAACATCAGGATGGATGCTTGGAGTATAGAGCCTCACTTCATCCTATTTACCAGGATTTGGTATAGGCATATAACATAACATAACATTCAAGTGTCCATGAATTTTCCAGCTTTTTAAAATTTTTTAATTGTCATTACACTGTCACAAGTACAGTGCAATGAAATTCACTCTCTGCTTTTAACTCATCCTCTTGGGGAGCCGTGGGCTGCCATTGTGCGGCGCCCGGGGAGCAGTGTGTGGTTAAGGGCTTGAAGTCAGAACCTCTGGATCCAAAGCGCAATGCCCTAACCACTAGGCCACCACACCCCTGGTGGTAAATTTGAAGATGCTAAAGAAAACATAGATCTTGTTTTTTCATGAGGTAAATGTAACTGATTGCTGAGCATGGGGGTGATCAGTCCAGCCTGTAAACTACCTGCCAAAAGTCCCGGGGAGCTGCAAACAGAGCCTGGCCCTGATGATCTCATCACCCTGTTCACAGCTTTCCACTGAAAGCCTCCGGGATGATAAACAGAGCCAGGTGACAATCACACAGTGTCACAGGTTCAACCCTCGGTCACCCTGTCTTCCTCTCCGTGCCTCTTTAAGAAAGGCTGAGACGCTTTAAAAATATTTCCTCCATAGCTGTCACACAAAAGCTTATTTATAGCGCAGAGTCAAGCAGCCTGGTCTGTTTTTAAATAATTCACAGGGACAGCTGAAATTCACGCTTCGTCATTCCTGTGTCATACTGTGAATGAAAGTCGCCCTGCATGGCAGCTTCATTGGTGCAGTGAAAAATGTAAAGTGCTGCCAAAAAGACCCGCTCAGCATTAAAGTCGCCTGAAATCCTCTCTGCCAGTCCCCTGGGGAATGCTTGCTCAGTTTAGGGAGTGGGGAAAAGACAGCGAGGGGCATCTTCTAATTCACAGCTATTACTAACAACCTACTGATGAAAGAATGCATTTCATTTCCATCAGTTCACTCAAACCTCTTTAGACCATCTGAGTATTCAGAGCAGAGGGCCTGATAGCAAAATAGAGAACCATTGCAGAAATTACTCTGTTATCTAGAGAGGAAATTAAAGTAAATAAGCCAATCTGTTTCCTCTCACCCAACCTAGACTGCTGAGAACAGTGAAAGCAGGTTGAAATTGTCCCTCTGTAGGAGCACATTTCTGTGGATTGTAAAGTCCCTGTAGCCTGTTGCTTCTCAGTCTTTTAATTGACTAAAAAAAAAATCAAAAAGTTCTTTCTTACCAGCCCTCTTATTTCACATCTAATTATAAAGTCTTTGCTTCAGAATTATCTCTTATAGTATAGTATAGTATAGTATAGTATAGTATAGTATAGTATAGTATAGTATAGTATAGTATAGTATAGTATAGTATAGTATAGTATAGTATAGGATAGTATAGTATAGTATAGTATAGTAGTGATGATCTTGGCGCTGATGACTGGCCTGATTACACATTTCATTCACCTGCCTAGTTCCACCCAGTTCTCGTTACCATCCTCTTATCCACCTGCTTCACTGTCTATTTAACCGGCCTTCAACCAGTCATCAGGGCCAGATTATTTGAGCCTGTGGTGAGAGTTTTTGAGTGTTTCCCGATTGCCTGATCCTGACCAATTCTGCATCTGGACATCTGAGCCTGGCTTTCCCCGTTTTGCTATGTTTGCCCTACCTGCCTTCGGACTCCTGCTGGATTCTGTCCGTGTACCAAACCTGAAATTGTTCCCCGACTCTGTTCTGGAGTTCCCTTTGGACCTCTGATCTCCTGGTTCTGACTACAGAGAATGTCTTCAACACCGGCTTTGGCTTTGCCCTCTGGATTATCCTGCCTTTCTTCATTTGCACGGTTCTGATATCCTGCCTGTCCCCAGACCTGCTACAAACCAGCGCCTGGGACTCTCAGGGCGGAGTACTGGCTAGAAACTATCCCATCCCCTAGTAACGGATTAAACTTTAAGATCAGGTTAGTGACTCACACGTTCATTTAAATCCTCTGCCAGATAGACGTGGTCACTAACCTGTGTTCTCCTGCTGCAATGGTTCCTGCCTTAGATGCCAATGCGACATTTCAGTCTTAAATAAAGGCTTTGTTAAACCTGTCTTACAGCCTTGAATACTGGGTCCTTTTGTACTGAGCCTGACAAAAGTATTGTACAGTATATGCTACAATATAGTATTATATAATATTATTTCACATTGAATGAAGTCTTTGAGTCAGAATTATCTCTGGCAGTATAGTATAAGATAGTATAGTGTAGTATAGTATAGTAAAGTAGATTATGGCACAGCATAACAAAGTTTTATCACAGTATTAGTGTTGTTAGGTATACTGTGCATCAGTAAATAATATCATTGTAGAGTACTAAATATTATATTATATAATAGTGTATAGTAGCAGAGTATATCATAATAACTTATAACATTGTATAGTACTGTATAGTATAATAGTATAGTAGAGTATCGGTGTAGATTAGCTTAATATAGAATAGAATAGCAAAGTATACAGTTTTAGTGTAGTTTATATATTAGTTTATAAACTAATATTGCATAGTACAGTAAAGAATAGTATAGAAGAGCATAGCATATTAGAGTATAGTATGATATAATATACAATAACCTTAAATTAAATATCAAAGATGTATACGGTAGCATTGTTTATTATTGAAAAGCGAAGAATAGTATTACGCTGATTTAATATAACATAGAATACTATAGTATGGTATGGATAAGTCTGTTATTAACGTGGTTTAGTTTATTGTAGTATAGTATAGCTTAACATAGCATAGTGAATGACAGCATGGCATTGTATATTGAAGCACATAGTATTATATATTTAGTTAGCATAGCATAGCTTGACATTACAGATATCATTAAATCTCAGTTACTTTCCTGAAGTTTTCAATTATGTAATTTTAAAGTGGTAATAATTGTTGAATAGGTCAGATATTATGCTGATAAACTATTAAGTGGTGGCTTTTAAAAAAACACAACATAATTGGGAGTTTGTGGTTTAGCTGTTCTGTGTTTTTATGATACATTTTAGATCTCCACATTTTACAAACATAAAGAAGGCCAAGCCAGCTCTATTGTGGGAAAAACAACACTTAATTTAGTATTGGGATCAACAAAGTATTTATGACTTCAATTAAATGTACGACCACTTCTCTGTTTTCCAGCTATCTACTCATACTTCATGGTTAACTACAGTAGTAATTGTGGACAACTCTTGACTATTATTAACACTTACCTACAGATACCTACCTGCATAACACCCCATAGCATAATTTGACACCAGTTTTTGTTCCTGTTATATTTGTTACTGTTTTACCAATTAAATGTCAGATTGTGCTTCCAGGGGAGCACAAAGCTGATTGAGTGATTGACAGCAGTGTCGTTTTTTTCTTCTTACTGTTAACATGGCGTCTGTTTTATCCACACTGTCAGAACTTACTCAGCAGAGCTGCTTTTGTGGTTGTGTATTGGAGAGATGCATGGTGGGAGGAGCAGGCAGTCTTTGTCCAGACGTAGCTTCTTATTACACTTGACTGATGATTCGCCATGGTCCAACTGGAAACACAGTTAACAGAGATTAGATGTAGAAACTGCAGAAAGGTTGGAGATTAATGGAGAGAGTTAAGTCCAATTTCGAACCTTGTGTTTCCTTTTGCTTTTGCTGATGTGTTTTTCTGTTGGAGTCCCCATGTTTGCAGCTGCCTGCCTTCTGTGTTTACCTCCGCTCTCCACCCTCTCCATCCTCCCAGCCAGTCTGGGATTATTCTGCTCGTGCCCAGGGGGGAGGTCCAACACTCCCAGACCTTGGCTAATCTTCTCTCTGTCCCTTGCAGCAGTCCTCTCCCTTTCTCCAAATGCAAACCTGTCCTCTCTGTCTGTCTGCCTCTCCCTGTCTGTTAATCTGTCTCTGTCACTTTGCCTTTCCTTGTCCTTCACTAAACGCTCGTTTTCTTCCTCCTGTCTCTCCCCCTTCGCCATCTTCTGCCTCTCTTTGTCTATCCCTGCATTGCTGTCCCTTTCCACCGCTCCCATCCTGGATCGTTCTCTCACAGCCGGCCCCGGCACCCTGCTGAGGAAGCTCAAGTCAATTTTCACCCACAAACTCTGAACTTCAGGATATTCCCTCAGAGGGGACAGAACCACAGCATGTCCAATATTTGGTGATGGGGACACGGGCTCCACATCCTTGCCTTGCACGCCAGACCCTCCGGGATCCGGCACGGAATTCCCAAAAGAAGCACTTATGCTGCTGACGCTCAGAAGGTTGCTAGCAACGCTTCCGCTGGTGGTTACGCCGCCGCCGTCTTTGCCTCGAAGTCCTGTTCCTGCAAACGCGCCCAGATTTCCCGCACCTCCAGCAACGCCAAGGCACGGGAGGAGAGGCGTATGGATGTGAGAGTTGGCCAGCGTCTGCGTGTTAACCGCGGAGCGTGTCGCCTGGGGTGGCAGAGAGGGGACTTTGTTGGCGTCCTCGCCGTCCGACTGGCATTCTGACGAAGAGGAAGAGGAATCTGTTTCGATGAATTCTCTGGACTTTGGTGTGATTTTGCTGCTGGGACCTCTATGTTTCCTCTTGTCCTATGCATAAAGATTATTTTAAAAAAGAAGCAGAGGGGACATTTAGTCAGTTATGTGCATGTGGAGGATCCCAAACAACACCCACCCAAACCATCTGACTCATCTGCCATGAACTGCTGCACTCCTACACTCTTAACAAAAGAGATCTGCTGTAGACAAACATTATACTCAAAAACAAAGGCTGTAACTGGATCACTGGATGTGATAATATCATGTGAATTATGCGGCGCAAGTTGGCAGCTTGTTCTGCTAATCTGTGAAGTGAAATGAAACATGCTTGGATGTGTGACTCTGAATGTCACCAGCGTTCAGCGCGTGGAGTCGCACAGCTGAGCGGACCGCCGTCTGTTTGCCACATGCTAATTAAAAGATGCATCTAATACTTCTATCATAGATGGCTTTTCTTTTGGTTATAAACTTTATTATAGTGAGGAAGACTGAGTAGAAGTCAGTGTTTTAAGATCACTAATCTTCAGATAGGCCATTGGCGGTTCTAGACCGGGGCCAACGGGGCCTGTAGATCATGTCTTCGCCCCTGTTAAGGCCCCTGTACTAAAGACATCATATTCAAATAAATTCTAATTATGATATGCTCTGTAACAGACATACGTAGTTACTGATAGTGATTTTACAGCTGCTTTTTGTATGTCTGCTTCTGTCTCCTTGAACCCCAGTCGGCCTCTGCAGATGGCCGCTCACACTGAGCCTGGTTCTGCTGGAGGTTCTTCCTGTTAAAAGGGAGTTTTTCCTCTCCACTGTCGCTACAAGCATGCTTAGTGTGAGGGATTGCCTTTGAGTCAATGAGTCGATGCAATCAACTGGTTTTCCTGAGATAGAAAACTTTGAATCAATCTGACTGGATGATCTGGTGAACTGTGAAGTGCCTTGAGAAGATGTGTGTTGTGAATTGGCGCTATAGAAATAAACTGAATTGAATTTAATTGAATTGATAGGTCTTTTAGATCTATTTAGTTTTTTTCTTTAACAAATCGGTTTTACTAATTATTTACAAACAATAAGGTGATCGCTTCAGTGGTATTAAGACAGGATCCCATTTTTTATCTGCTAAATTATTATTTTTTTTTTCCAAAACAAATTGCTCTAATTTTTTTACAGCTGAAATTATCAGTTTTTCTTGAGTCCTAATTCAGATTTTATGGAAAAGGGTAATTTTAACTTAAATTAAATCAAAAATATGTACAATTCCTAAATTATGAATGTATATTGTTGACCTAATAAGACATAAACTTCATGCAGCTTAATATATTTGAATCCCTTGCCTTGTTTTTTATTCTATGCTTTTCTGGGCCCCCATGAAAACGCACTGGGCCTCTCGTTGCCCCCTGGTACATTTGATCTAGAACCGCCACTGAGGTACGCAGTTTTAAAACTATTAATTTTATACTTCTAATTGAGTAAAAGGCTTGAACTAATACTTGCACCTCTTCAAAAGTATTTTTTGACCTGGTATCTTAACTTCTACTTGAGTAATGATGGTGATTACTTTTCACACCTCTGCTTCTATACAGTACAAACACACACATATATATTTAGAAGGTGTGGTGGCTTTTATCTTTCCCTGGCAATGCATCATGATTAATGAGGAAACCATGTTTTATGTGTTTAATAATTACAGAAACACTCTGCTGAGCTTCTGCTTTATCTGGACTCTGTATTTCCTTTTGCTGTAACAATAAAGTACGGAGCCCCTCTGATGACATGGTCAAAAAAAATGTTTAATTGTGGCCACGAAGTAGTATTTCGCGGCCACGCAATAAGTATAACGTGCACACGAAATACTATTTCGTGGCCACACAATAAGTTTAACGTGCGCACGAAATACAATAATATCAATAAATCCGCCCCTGTTTTCAGGCTTATGTTAACTGTAATGACTTATCTTGGACAGGCTGCTATGTAAACGGGCCTTTAGTCCTTCGTTTAGCTATGCTGCGGTTGTTTACACTACGCCTTTTCCACCTAAAATGAAGTACACTCCCTAAAATAGCGTCTTAGCAACAAATGTCACGTGACTGGCGGAGACCGACTGGGTAAGCAAATCGAGCGCGCCTTAGACCTTAGAGAAGGCGCGCTCGATTTGCTTACCCAGTTGTCCAGGAATGATATTAATATTATTAATAAGTATTTCGTGCGCACGTTAAACTTATTTCGTGGCCACGAAATAGTATTTCGTGCGCACGATAAACTTATTGCGTGGCCACGAAGTAGTATTTCGTGCGCATGTTATACTTATTGCGTGGCCGCGAAATACTACTTCGTGGCCACAATTTTTTTTGACCATGTTATCAGAGGGGCTCCGTAATAAAGCAAAACCGGGCTGAGCAGTGGGTAGCGCTGCTGCCTTGCAGCAAGAAGGTTCTGGGTTTAATTCCCAGCCCGGGATCTTTCTGCATGGAGTTTGCATGTTCTCCCTCAGCATGCGTGGATTCTCTCAGGGTACTCCTCCTTCCTCCCACAGTCCAAACACATGACTGTTAGGTTAATTGGCTTCTCTAGATCCTCCTTAGGTATGAGTATGAGTGAATGGTTGTTTGTCTCTGTGTTGCCCTGCAATGGACTGGCGACCTGTCCAGAGTGTACCCCACCTCTCGCCCATAGACAGCTGGAGATAGGCACCAGCACCCCTCATGACCCCAGCTGGGATAAAGCGTGACAGAAAAAATAAAATGAAACCTCTGTATTAATTCTTTTTGCATCTTTTTTTCAAAGTGTCCATGGCCGACCCAGATTATTAAAGTTGTGATTTATTTTTCCTTTAAAATGCCATTCAATGTGTCAGTATAAATAAATAAGTTTTCCAGACATTGAGGAGTGTTGGACGGAAGTGTTGGTTTTTCAGTCATGAGCTCCCAGAATCCCAGCATCCCTAACCTGGTTCACAGTGACAGCAGGAACAGGCACAGCGGTCTGCTGCAGCGCCGCTGGTGGAGCGGCTGTGTTGGCGTTGGAATTAGCAGCACTGCGAGGCTCCTTCCTCGGGGCCGTCTTCCCGCTGAGAGGTTTCCCTCTCGGCCTGGGGGGGTTCTGATGCTCCAGGGAGGGAGGAGGCAACAGGTCCTTCTCTCTCGCTGCGGGGCTGGTTAGAGGAGACACAAAAACAGGAAGCACGATGCTGCGAGTTAAGATCAAGCCCAAAGCAAGCCCCAGTTACTGCTGTACGGCTGAACACTGACAAACAGCTGAGTGTAATGTTTGCCTCGGCTAACTCTGGGGGGGAATGTGAGTTCAAATGAAACAAAAAAAAAATACGAGAGGATGAAATAATTGAAAACAGCATGTGTTTAACTGAACTTGTTTAGAAGTTTAGGTAGGAACAAAGGAGAGGAATAAGAGTGAGGGAGAGGGAAATGAAAAAGGAAGCAGGAAAGTCATTTTGTTCTCCTAATTGGCCTGAAGTCATGCAGAGCGACGAGCTCAGAGATAGTTCCACTAAATCCATGTGTGGAATGATTATCCTAAAACCTGTAAGGCTGGAGGACATCACAGCCATTCACTGAATAACACCTTGTTTATTCGTCCTGATGACACATCTTCATATTTTTATTGTGTTTTCTGTTCTTAAAGGTATAGAGAATGATTTTTTATTTCCAACTGGATCATCTAAATAAGTGGTCTTCCTAATTGATTCAAGATTCAAGAGACTTTATTGTCATTCACACCACGTGTTACATGAGGTAGAACGAAATTGAGAGTCACGGCCCCAGTTACATCCGAATATAAAAAAATTAAATATAAAAACTAGCTACAAGATCAAATTATATAAATAGAACAAAATATTTACAGGTATATAAAAACAAGAAGTAGAAAATAAAATGTATATTAATAGGAATGTACAGAATGGATGAAGTATGAGTAATGTAGCAGCGTGGGAAGATAAATTTAGCAGTGCAACATTTTAAAGTGTCCGAGTGTGAACTGCAAATACAGTGTCATTGGGGGGTTAGGGGTTGAAGTGACCAAGGTATTGTTAGGGACAGTTTGAGAGTCTCACAGCTTCTGGTTGTCCTGCATTGGATGCTTCCCGGCCTCCTGCCTGAGGGTAGCGGGACAAAAAGTGAGTGTGCTGGGTGAGTGGGGTCCTTCATGATGCAGGAGGCCCTTTTCCTGCATCTGGAGGTGTAGATGTCTGTGGTGGTGGGGAGGTTGACAGCCTTCACTACTGTCTGCAGAGCTTTCCTGTCTGCAGCAGAGCAGCTGCCATACCACACGTTGATGCTGGAGCACAGCACGCTCTCCACCACACATCTGTAGAAGGAGATGAGGACTGAGCTCCCCAGTCCTGCACGCTTCAGCCGCCTGAGGAAGTAAAGCCGCTGGTTCGCCTTCTTGACCAGAGCGGAAGTGTTGTTGCTCCAGGTGAGGTTGTTGCTCAGGTGCACACCCAAGTACCTTTAGCTGGAGACAACTTCCACCGCAGATCCTCCGACGAGCAGGGGGAGGTGGGCGTGTCTGCTCCGTCTGAAGTCCACAATCATCTCCTTCGTCTTCTTGACGTTGATGCAGAGGTTGTTTTCTCTGCACCAGCCCTCCAGGTGTTCCACATCCTGTCTGTAGCTGGACTCATCACTGTTTGTGATGTTTCCAACCACTGCTATATCGTCTGCAAACTTCACAATATGACAGCCAGGATGGAGAGGAGAGCAGTCATATGTGAGCAGCGTGAACAGGAGGGGACTCAGCACACAGCCCTGTGGAGAGCCAGTGCTGAGGACTGTGGTGGAGGAGGAGATGTTGTGGATCTTCACAGACTGCGGCCTGTTGGTCAGGAAGTCCAGGACCCAGTTGCAAAGTGAATTGCTCAGTCCAATTGGATTTACGCTGAGGGCGTGAGAAGCCGCTGCACTACTGCGCGCCGCCATTCCTTCTGGTGATATATTTACATAAGGCCGTCCTACGTGCTTGTCCCCTTAGCTACCTTTTTCTTCGCATGCGCACTTTCAGGCGTATATCTGTGGTGAGCTATGGTTTCAGACAGTCATTGAAGCTCACCTTTCTCACCGCGGTTCTTTGAAAATGGCCGATGGTCGTAAGAGAAAAAGTGTCTACAAAGTTTTTGAGAACAAAAGAAAGGCCTCAGAAGAGGCAGATATATCCCAGAATGCTTTGCGTGGACAGCTCTTCTCGCAGAGCATTGTGGGATTTGCTGTCACAGCGGCCCACTGTTCCCACAGGCTGTCGCTACCCGACAGCTGTGACTAATAACTAAGATGGCGCAGGCAGCGAGCAGTGGAGGAGTTACTTGACCAACGGAGCAAAAAGCAGTGATCATCTGTCCAAACGGTAAGTTAACCGAGTCCACTATATAGTCGCCGCTCTATATAGTGATTGAGGGATTTCGTGGTTAGGGCGGACGTTTGGGCACGGTAAGATTGTGCGAACTACGAGAACAGCAACTTTTACACAGGGCATGCAAGAGGAGAAATGGGCTCGTGCACGCTCTCGCACGTGTTAAATAGGCGTTCCCTCATGGGAATGGATACAGGATTGTGCATGTGCATTTTTTTTTTAAGTGGAGAGGGCGGGTCTTTTAAAAATTCACGAAAATCCTCCACAATACCTTTAAATACACTAAAATCAGTGTAATTTCCATCCCACAGCACTACTGGGTGGTGTGTATAACCATGGGCATGCCTACATACACTTCCTGATTTGTAATTATTTTCCAGCATCAGTTCATTGTTTGTTTATATTAGGTAAACTTTTCCCACCAGCCTTTTTCTAGCTCCTTCCTCTCCTCCTCACCTGTGCTGGTTCGCTCTGCTCCATGGCTGGTTCTGGTTATCCTCCACGCTGCTTGACCTCTCGGCCCGTCGCGGCTGTTTCTTCCCGGTGGTGATTCTCCTCGGGGCTGGGACCTCCTGCCCCGACAGCAGGCCTGGCGACAGCCTCATCTTGGACCTCTGACCCTCCCCTGAGGCTTTCTGGCCAAGCTTGGCTTTGGCCTTTTCCCTGCCCGGGCTGAGCAGAGGATAATCACACATTTACACTTTAGACTTTAGAGAGCAGATATCTAGAAATCTAGAAAACAAATACACTCACCAGAAGTTAGCCCTGCTGTCTTTGTGCTCCACTGCAGGTGCAGCAGGAACAGTTGCACCGTTGGACCCACAGGGTTTGGTTTTAGCAGATGAACACGCTCCTGGTGCTTCAGTCCCAGGAGAAAATGTCTGTGGATCCTGGCTGATGGAGCCTTAACAGATTTACCCAGGATAAGAGCTTATTAACCAAACCAATGTTCTTCTTTATCCAAGATGTGAAAGCTTTAACGATTATTCTCCACTAACCTGAGCCATGATGCTCCTGCTGTGCAGGGACCAGAGGTTTGGTCTGAGCTTGGACTTTGTTCAACCAGCTGTCCAGTTGCCACTTGTTAGTAGAAGGGGGCTCCGGCTGCAGGAGGACAAAAACAACTTCATTAATATTTCAGCAACCTCCTACACTTTATCAGCGGAATAATAACAAACCTTCCTTCGCTCATAAACAAGTGAGAAAACTCAGTGCGCCTCTGAAATAATGAAGCTGTCTCTGAATGAAAAATCTTTACAGAGAAATATAAAACTATTGCCTTTCTGGATTGTGGTTATTGTATCACACAGCAAGCCCCTCGCTGAGCTGGATGTCCTTTATTGCTTATGTTGAAGCCGTTCCGCTGTTTGTCGGGTTCTCTCTCTGCATTTCCCCGTCACTTTCTCCCACTGTTAGACGGCATAAGCCCATAAAACCAGGCAGCGTTGAGCTATTTAAATAATGTGATAACTAATGTTGTAACTCGGTCCTCTGCAGCTGGTATGTTATGACTTTTGGGAGTAGTGGAATGTTAACGTACGGATGTTCAGAGACTGAGTGAGGGTGAGGGAGGGGGGACAAGGGGGTGGGGTGGGGTTTGTGGGGGGTTTTGGAAGTATATCCGACTCTTTAGGATGTGAATAACATAGAGTAGAGGTCACAGGTCCAAATCCAGACCCACCTGCTGGCTAATCCAGACCCAACCTGATTTAAAACATTTATAAATTACCACATGTTGTCCAACGACAGTTTCTAACTTCACTTGCACTGCCTCTCCTGTTAATACGGTAAAGCCCTGCAGACCTTCCAGCATCAGGCTGCACGTGATAGTAATTAGCCAATGAGCTTCTGTCAGTCTGGGTTGCTGCTGCTGCTACTTTTAGACACAGCAGGCAAACCTGTTGCAAGCTGTGCGATGGGAAAGAAGGAGAAGATGATGACAAAAAGAGAGCAGAGAAAGTGTGGACTGCTGGAAGAACTGTGGTGAACTGGTGAAAGAAAAGAGAAATGGTGCTCAAAGATGACCCTGAACATTTAGAGGATGTTTGGCTCAATTTTCACCATAAACAGAATCAAAAATAAATATGGATCCAGGCTCAGAATGAGCTCCTTGATATGTGCTTTAGAATGGCTTTGTCTCCATTCAAACCCAGGTTTAAAGCCTTGCAGGGCAGCATAAAGCCCTCTGCCAACATCAAGACAGAGAAAACAAACGGTCAGTTCAGGTGTTTTATAAAATATTTGAACCAGTAAATTGTCTTTATATCAAACTGAAAGATATTTTTTTCTGTCTTTAGTTGTGGACATCTACCAGTGATATTTTGACAATATCACTGACAATATTAAACAAGTCATTTAATTAGGGCGCAGGAAGAAGAATATGAGCTGCTCTACTGATCCAGATGGATAATCTGCTTTCTTAATCACCAGACAAACAGGAAAAACAGCCATCATACTTAGCCAGCAGCTCAGACAACCATCCTCTACTTAATAAAGAAAATAAAGAAAATCAACAACAAGTAAAGGTAATTTTTTATTATTATCCTTTACTTTAAACAGAATTTAACACTGAAGTAAAATGAGGTTTTTAAGCATATATGTTATACATTGACTGTTTAAATAAAAAAATACATATATAAAAAGAAAAAAAGGACATTTTTCCATTTTAAAATCTGAAGTGTTTTTTTTTAAGTAGAGAAAATCAATCAGTTTGGTGTATAGACAATTTCCTGAATCACACCTGATCTGACCATTTGTTTTTTCTTTCAGCTCATTGGCTAATTAGCATCACCTGTAGCCTGGGGCCGGTTGCTCTGGAGGGCTTTACCATGCAGTAATTTATAAATGTTTTAAATCAGGTTGGGTCCGGATCCGGACCACGGTCCACTAATCTGTGACCTTTGTACTAGGGGTTTAAAAATACTCTCTTTCTCTAAAGGATTCTGTTATCTTAAGAGCCTTTGATTAACTTGAACGTCATTTTTGCATCTAGTTCAAATCTGAGAACACACACCGCTATGGGTTGCATGGTTTCAATCTCCATACCATGTATGTGTTCTGTCCAGGCACTGAACCAGGTGGTTCCAAACTGCATGATTTAACTTACTGTGTACTCCCCTGGGTTAGTTACTGAGCAAAACGCATGGTAAACTCATGCGTTTGAAGAACAAGTGTGAATTGATTTTCTTGAAGCCACAGCAAAATCGAATTACACATAAAGCACAGAATTGAATACGCAGGTTTAGATAATTTCCCTTCAGCAAATTGCCATAAAACATCTAGTTCTTGTAGCCATCAACATGCTCCTCTTTGTTGTTTGTTGATGGGCACCCAGACGTTAACAGGGAAAACAGTACAGGCACAATGGAGGTGGAATGGAGGATTTAATAACGGAAATTACAGAAAGACACGTGGGTCATGAACACAGAAACAAGGCCATGTGCAACAGTACAAGGAGAGAGAGAAACCAAAGAGCTTAAATACTTTGGAAACTGGGAGAATGCAACTCAGAGGGGGGAGAATTTCAGCAGAAAACTAAAAACAGGAATAATAAGCACAGGGGAAAGAGCTGAGGTGATCTAACTAATTAAAGACTAAAAGCATTAAAAGTTTAAACCAAATGCAAAGAACAGAACACAAGAAAATCTATCAAACTCAATACAAACCAATGAAGTTAAACATTTCCTCCATTAACTCTGGTTGAAAACGTGATCAATCATCCAATCAGAAATAGAACTAATTTAATTGGTTGGACTGACTTTGGAAAGCCTACAATAAAGGAGGTTACGCTTAGCCTGACTAGAGCTTGCTAGTGACTCCACAAGAACCCTTTAATTTGTTCTTGTTCTTGGGGTGCTGAGAAAAGGGACAATGTTTGCATTACCGGGGCAACAGCGGCGTCGGGTGTAGGAGTTTGCTCTGAAATCGATGGATTTGTATAATATGTTATATTACACGATTTAGAGACTTTATGGACTTCATAATGACTGTGCAAAGTGATGTGCCTATTTTTTAATTTTTAATTTTAAGTTAATCTACCTAAGCTACGAAACAGCCAGTGTGTGGCAAAGTGATGAATTTATCTTTATTTTAAAAGTCTTAATTCCCCCTGAAAATGAAAATATCATTGTTGTTTGATGCTGTAGCGCACATATTGTTTACATTGCAACCGGTCTAACAAGGGAGTGCCAATATGGCGGCCGGTTGCTTCATTTCAATCCCGTACTACCAAGGGGCAATCAGCAATCCAGTGAATAGAGATCATGGCGTAGAACATGGAACCGTTTTTAATAAATAACATAACGTGGAAGCTCTGCCGGTCGGATGTGAATGGAACGGAGCATCCAGGTGTGGCATCTGGGGCTTAGGGTAAGGCTGAGGGTATCCCAGTGTTAGTGGAGGTGTCTTATAAAATCTGTAAGATGTACCTCCAGTTCTTGATTTTATTTAATTTGTATGTTGCATGATGATTAAACTTAAAAAGAAAGGTTTAAAAAAAACATATTTAAAGTTAAAGATGCAGGTCAGATTAAATCCATGATGAGTGTAAACTGACTGCAAATAGAAAAATACCTCTGGAGTGTTTGTGCGGGAGGCCTGATTATAGTCGCTGTCACTGGAGCTGCTTTCGGACTCGTCCGTGTCAGACTCTGAGCTGCTCTCCGATTCGCTGCTGCTTCCTGACGCACCACTACAGAGTGAGACAAGAAGGAAGAAAGACACAGCAAAATGTCACAACACCACCAAACCAAAACCCCGCTAACAAGATGACAAGAGGCACACTGAGGGACACCCTGGCTGGTAATGAGGGTCATGGTGTACAAGTTTTAGCTTAAAATAAATCCAGTGTTTCTTCAAACTTTGCTCAAACGTCACATTTTTCAACAGATTTTCTATTTTTTAAGTACGTGTTATATTTAAAAAGAAAAAACATATTTAAAGAAATGAGAATTGTACAGATATAGCTCACATGTTTGGTCTTAATGCAGAAGCATGGGGTATTCTGTAAAAAACAAAAAGTTACCTCACAAATAGAAGAGACAATAATATCTCAGGAATAGACATGACAGCTTTAAGATATAGCAATCCTACAGGGTATTCACTTTATATCCAAACTTTACAGTGTGGAGGCTTTTCTTTTCCAGGGGCTCCACATGACTAACTGCACCATATCATAAAGCTATTTTATCCCCAAGCTGCGAAAAACAAAACAAATCCATCAGAGAGACATAGGAGGAACATTAAGAGAAGCCAAATCAAAAGTCCTCATACATTTCAAGGAAAATAATGTAATTTTGTGCTTGGCAACATAAAACGTTCTGGAAGGCAACGGAAGACAGAATAATCTTTTTATACCTTATAGAGAGGAATGTTTTTCAGGAGTGGAGATATTACCGTGGTTCTGCTATAAAAAGAAGACTTTACAGGAGCAAAGGCAGCGGCTTCTCCACAGGATGCACAGTTTTCATTAACTCTCAGATTCTCGGTTCAGACTTTATAAAACATTTTTAAAAGGCAGAAAAGACCTGGAAGGGAGTCGTGTAAGAAACTGAAGCCAAGATTGAACCGAACTGGGGGGGAAAGAGAATAAATAATGGAAATGGTCTGAACTATAATGCAGAGCAGAGAGTGAATTGAAGCCAGAAGAGGCTGAAGGTTGATTTAAATCAGACTGGAAACGATCTGAACTCAGAGTAAGCAAACCGGAGCTAGACGCTTAGTTAAGTCAGTTATGTTTATAGAGCCAACATCAGACAACCAACTTAAACCCCAGTTTCTTAAAAAGAAAAAAAAAACACACAAAGAAAGCAAATTAAGCAGCTGAGTGGCTTAATTTGCTTAAAAGTTTGAGAAAATAGTTGTGTTTTAAAACAAGTCACTGTAGCATCTGATCTAAGGTGCTGTGGAAGAACAGAGAGAACAGCCATGATAGGGGGACCTGATGAGGTTGGCTGAAATTCAGAAGGGGGGCGCGCGGTAGGCTGACTTACATGTACAGAAATAAAAAAATCGCATTTTTCATGAGGGAGTATTAGGGCCAGGCTAAAGATTTTTTTTTGTTCTATTTTGAGATTAAAGTTGTAGTATAACGAGAATAAAGTCATAAAATTATGAATATAAAGTCGTAAAATTACAATAATTAAGTTGTAACATTACGAGAATGAAGTCATCATACAACAATCCATTTCATAAAGAAAGCTTGGAGCTCCGACCAGTAGATGACGGCCGACCAGCTCCACCAATCAGCAACCTGAGTCCACTTTGACATTCTGCACAATTTGATGCTGGTGCCAAAAGATTTCATTATTTGTCAAACCAGAACCAAAATAAAGCTCACCATAATGCTCCACATTCCTCATTTTAGGGAAGAAAGAGCTTCTTGTAGGAGTTGGCATAAAATACAACGCGTTTCTTGTAATTTTAGGACTTTATTCTCCTATTATTACGACTTTATTTTCATAATTTTATGACTATTCTCGTTGTGACTTTTTTCTCGTAATATTACAACTAGTCTCATAATTTTACGACTTTATTCTCGTAATTTTATGACTAGTCTCATAATTTTACGACTTTATTCTCGTAATTTTATGACTAGTCTCATAATTTTACGACTTTATTCTCGTAATTTTATGACTAGTCTCATAATTTTACGACTTTATTCTCATAATTTTACGACTTCATTCTCGTAATTTTATGACTAGTCTCATAATTTTACGACTATATTCTCGTAATTTTACGATTTTATTCTCGTAATTTTATGACTATTCTCGTTGCGACTTTATTCTTGTAATGTTACGACTATATTCTCGTAATAGAACAAAGAAAAATCTCTAGCCTGGCCCTAATACTCTGTCTTACCTCTGCTAATCAAGTCTTTAGTAGCCTATATTAATCAGATGTGATCACAAGAGCAATAAAACTAGGCTAAAAATGTAAAATAACATTTTATATTTACATACAGCTGATTTAATTGCAAGCTGATTTACAGGCTTTTGCTCAACTGCAATCATCCTAACAAGGGCGTAGGTCTGATTTGAACTTTGGTAGGGACACTATTGGTCTGGTGTCATTGGTGCTATGCAATATGCATGCCCTTTTTTATGCTCGATGTCAGCATCCGTACTGATAAGAGGAATTCATTGTTAAAAGAGAAAAGCAACATTTTGCTCCATTAATAAAAATGTTATAAGCTCTACACTCATTAGATGCTGTTTATCAATGTTTGAAGTATCACCGGCTCTGATGACTGTGGAATTAGGACTGTTTTCCACTTTGAAAACGGTTTCATTTGAATGACTAAGAGAGAAGGTAAATGCAGTATTTTCTTTTGAAGATATAGAATTGTGCAGAGTTAAACCCCACTCTAATATTTGTACCTACTATTCTCTCTCTGTATCAAGCAAAGTAATACATTCAATAAAATATTAACTTCACTATAAAAGTTGAACATCTGGGCTGTAGTTACTCTGTGAAGCCAATTTCATGTATTTCATCTGGGGCTGAAAAAAATGAATCATAATAATTGATTATTTCAATAATCGTCAACTAATTTAGTAAGTGATTCATAATGAACTGGAGTATAGAGACTTTAAAACATACAGTAATATAAATGTAAAATGTGCCTTTCCCCACAAAGCAACCCACTTAGATCAGTTATTATATCAAAATTGTAAAAAAAAAAAACAAAAAAAATGAAAACAGTAATATCAACTTAATATCGGTAAAAAGGAAACCCTCACATTTTCTTTTTTAGTTGGCTGTGGCTAAGAATCAGAAAAGTTGATGGCTTACAGCCTTTATTTGCCCATTTTCCAACAGTCTTTTTGTTTTTTAGTGTACATGATATTCATTTTTTTTATTGGGACTAGTTTTGTAGCCTAATATTAATTGTAGTAACCGCTACATTCTAGTGTGAATAAATTTTCAATGTTGTGCTCCAAGCACACGCGGACTAGAAAACAGCCAATCAGAGAGAGAGAAGGCGGAACTTAAGGCAGAACAACCAATGAGAGTTGAGTTAAACAGCGCAGCACAGTTCCATGCGCTGCTACATGAAAGGGACAGGAGAGACCAGGCAGAGGAGCTGCGAGAGGAAAAGAAGCCACTGCTGCAACAACTACTGCTGTAAATTATAAACATGTTGCTCACATCCAATTATTGGTAGGGACAATTAGTTCGGTTCAAAATTTTGGTAGGGACATGTCCCTTTGGTCCCTATGCAAACCTACGCCCATGCATCCTAATCAGCTGTGCTAAAGCAGGGAAACCTCTAAACTTCTAAGGCTGATTTATGCTCAGAAACCAGGTTGTAATTGTAGGTGACCGCAGACAGTGTCTCAGACAGTAGGCCTCTGATTGGTCGCATCTACATCCACTCTACACTATGCGAATTTTCTGTTTGATACCTTACTGGCTTGTTTTGTTTGTATGACCGTCATTGCGGAAAACGACTCGTGAGGTTGGACCAGCTAGAAGAGCGAGTTGCGTGAGAACACTGGGACCCTTTTTCCACCTGGATCCCTGCTCATTTTCGCCCTCATGACCCTCCATTGTCCCACAAATTTGCCCCCACTTCCTCACCGCCTCGGCTGTATCTAGACCCACAGCTAGTTCCTGATTGTCCCTCTTGCGTTGTGGAGTAGAATAACATAGAGCAGCTTCAATATTGAGCATAAATCAAAAATATTGCAACAAGCTCACTGCGACACACTGCTGCAGGAGGATAACCTGCCCTAAGAAACGGAGGTAACATGATCTTTAAAGTTCAGCTGGTCCTCAATCATGACACCCAAGTTTTTTGCTGCCTTTGATGGCGTCAGTGAAAGGGATCAAGTCTGCATGTGAATATTGTGGTGAATGGTTGGTTTGGCCGGGAAAAATAGAAGTTCAGTTTTTGAGAGATTCAGTTTCAGTCGGAGGTGATGGGCTTTCATCCCTTTTGATATATCAGTGCCTGAGATGCGAGCTGAGACTGTGTGGACATCAGGTGGAAATGACAGATAGAGCTGGGAACTTTAGAACAGTAATGTTCAGGCAGTGGAAGTTGAGGAAGAATACAAATATCTGGGAACCATGATGTAGGCAATGTATCCAAAAAGGTTTATGAATGTATATGCTTCTAGCATTAATAAGGAACGGTACCATGGACAGTAGTTGATGAGAATGTTTTATCGAATCTGTTCTCACCTTCTATTTTATTTGCTGGTATGGGTTATTGACAAAAAAACAGAAACACATTCATCAACTTGTCAGTCTTTGCAGCAAAATTGCCAATGTTCCACGGAACAATATCTCTACCCTTCATATAACCAGATCCCTCAGAGAGCCCAGGCAATTTTAGCTGTTTAGTTTTTAACCATCAGGTGCAGATTTGCTTTAAGAACTTGTAGAACCAAAATATTTTCTTTTTGATGTTATTGTTGCTTGTTGTGTGTCTGTCAGTAGTTATGATTTCATGTTGGTATTGTAATGCTTTATTGTACTATGGTTTATAAAAGTCTATTTTGTTGCCTCCTGGGGATATTAAACATACCTTGAATCAGGTTCATAGAGTGTAAACATACATATAAAATGTTCCTGTGAGGAGAAGGGAGTCACTAGATACATTTTCTGAAATACAAAGCCATGAAATCTAACAGATTTCCTCCCTACAAAGGGATTTAAAAGTGCTCTGTGAGGAGCCCAGTTAAACT